CAGTAAATGTGCGCATGTCTGTGTGTGTGTGTCTTTTTGTTAGTTGTGCAATGTTTTAAATGTCATGTACTATCACTGTGGTTGATGTGTTCCTATTCCCACAACGATCTATCAAATTTTATCTTATCTGCTCATGCAGTCTTTCAAAACAGTAAATTATTAATTACAATATAGTTGATGATCGTAGAGCTGACATGTCAGAAAACTGTTTAGTGTCAGCGGGAGCCTGGATATGAGCTTTATAAAAGCAGCTTTATAAGCAGATCTCTCCCTTCTGTTTCTTCCAGATGACATTGGAGGTCCCTATCCAGATCAGTTTGATGACGTAATGGATTTTATTGAGGCTACCATTGGCAGACTGCGGAGATCTTCGGAAACCAGCGGCGGTTCCAGGGGAAAGAAGGAGCAGAGAAAGAGAGGAGCGGCAAACACAGGAGGCGCGAGAGAGGAGGGGAGAGGACACGGTGACAGGAGGCGTAATAGGGGCCGAGGGGGGAGTAGAAATGGCAAAAGAGGACGAGGTGAGAAAGGGAAGGAGAAAGAGAGTATATCTGTGCAGACGCGGGGGTGCTTGCTAAAGGAAGTCCACCTCAATGTGACGGATTTGGGGCTGGGCTACCAGACTAAAGAGGAGCTGATCTTCCGGTACTGTAGCGGCCCCTGTATTGAGGCAGAGACCAACTACGACAAGATCCTGAACAACCTCACGCACAACAAAAAGCTGGACAAGGATACACCCTCTCGCACCTGCTGCCGGCCGATCGCGTTTGACGACGACCTGTCTTTTCTGGACGACAATGTGGTGTATCACACGCTGAAGAAGCATTCTGCCCGGAAGTGTGGGTGTGTTTAAAGAAGTCACATGAGCGGCACGTAGCAGACTAAGGATATCCTTTACAAGCTCACGCTGGAGAGGGACATGTGTACACAAGGTCAAATTGGGAGTGTTTGTCTCCTTTTTGTTGTTGTTGTTTTTGTCAGTAGTCATCAGAGGAGGAGCAGGTAGGCGTACTGAGACCGCCTGAAAGACACTGGAACAGCCGCTTGAAAGGAAACTGTGCGTTTATCCCATACTCGACTGTTCAAACACGTGCAAAACAAAATGTATCAGGTGTGCACCAGTTTGCAGAAGATTAAATACTGTTACACTTTCAGATTTGCCAACTGTGCTATCTAAAAAGGGTGAGAGTAGAAGAAACATCAGTTGTTTTGTTTTTTCCACAGCTGGCTCTTTAGACTGTAGATGAATCCAGAGATTTGACGAGCTTCAGTTGCAATCGAAACACTTCCAGCCTGGATGTTGGCATTTACATTCAGAGCCAAGGAACCCCATCGGAGTTAAGCAAAGACTTTTTTTCTTCTTTTTTTGTGCAACACATCTACATAAAACCCAACCTATATGCATACATATAGTATATACGTGTGTCAGAGGTATATTTATTAAGATGGAATTAACTTATTGTTATTTATTTCAATCCATTTTATTAAAAAAAGTGTCTTTTTTTTTATTTATTTAAAGCTTTGTTTGTCCTGGATAATGCCAAAGTAGAGCATTTTCTCAAGTAAAACCATGCAAGCTGACTCAGACCTGTTAAAACACTCCCACGATCCCAAAGCTTATTTATGTCACTTAGATTCCAGGCTTTCTCAAGCAGATCCAAATGATCATTGTTAGCCGTTAAGGAAAGATAGAGAAGCAGAGGAGGGGACCAATAGAAGATTTCTTTTTTTTAAATAGAGCTGATCTGTTGTTGCATTTTGAGTAGTTCACCTCGTTATCGCTAATGTGACCACACTAAGACAGGGAGAAAACGTCACCCGGGTACAGCCTCCCATTCAAAGCATCCTTTAAGAACACTATGTTTACGCGGAAGCAAATAATTCTTTGCTGCTGTTTGTTTATAAAGTGTGTGTGTGTTGTTTTTTTAAAATCAACAATCCAGGACAGACTCGGCGTCACTCCAGCCATAAGCCATAATGACTTTTAATTTCAATCTGCAGTCGACACGAGAGCGGTGTGGTCTCGCGAGGATCTGCAGGTGCCTTTGACGATCCATCCTTTGAGTCACACAGTACAGAAGCTGCTATTTCTGCCTGTCAGCACGCGTTACCTGAAACCTCGCCCTGGCCTCGCACAAAATCTGAGCAAAAGGCTTTGCAGCGATAACCGTCCCAGTAGGCTTAAAGTTCACGGGGCTGGCCGTGTTTCTGTCTGAGCTGTGACAGACAGGTCTTTTATTTTTTTTTATCCTCAAAGGGGATTTGAAAGTGATCCTCTAACATGAGTCTTAACCAAATATCCCCACCGGCAAAGGCAGTTTAAGGAAGATCTAGCTGCTGTAGTGGATGTCATCACACAACTGATATGAATATCTCAAAGGACTCAACAAAGGAGTATGTTTTGGAATTACTGAGTAAATGATTGGTAGGCTCAGTGGGCTTTTCGGTGTACCCGTCCAGCCACCTGTCCCCAAAGTTTAGGAAGAAATATACATTAAGGAAAGGAGACTCTTTAAAAAGCGCGTTTGTGTGCCCTGTTAAGGGGGTAGTTTTAAGTGGAACAAAGAGAGCCCTCGAGTAGGTCTTGATGTTAACACGGATTAGGGACCAAGGTATCTGTGCCCACCCATCAGCAAGCAGGCCAGCTTTACTGTGTAATCCCCCCACACAGAACAAATCCAATGCATCAAGCTGAATTTAGGCCAAATACTACACAGACAGGGAAAAAAAGTCTAGCTTTTATCACAGCATACCTCATCAGTTGGATCATCTTCCCATTTAACAACTGATTCGTGCATAAGCCTTCCCAGATGGGAATGTGGAGGCTTCCCAGAAGCCTCCAGAGCACCTCGCTACTCTTCCACACCATACATTAAAGAGTGTGAACTGCAGCACTCGTCTCATCGGTGATTAGTACCCCGGTTTTGATGCAAAAGTGTAAAGATGAAAAGGACTACATTTGTTATCACTCCGCTATCACCTCTGTGGAAAAGAAAAAACAAACTGTCATGTCGTCTCACTTGTTGTGTGTTACAGAACCAAAGCTCTGGGCAAACTTTATTTTTGTACAATATTCATTTTATAACTTTTTACAGAATTAAACTTGTTTCTATTAAATGAAAATGTCTCCTGGTATTGTGCCATGTACGACAATGATCCACCGGTGCCAGATGGTTCTAATTTGCAGGGTAATGTTTACACAGGCATCAAGCAAAATTGAGGGTGAAAAATTTGGGTTAAATGGGGAGAAATGCGAGGATGGTTTGAGAGATGGCCTCCGCAGTGTGGCATCCCCCTTCTGCTCTGAATTCTTGAACGGGAGCCCGGGAGTCGTACAGTAAACAAAAGCCAGCAGAAAAGTGCCACCGACTGTATATCAAGCTCCTCGAGTCTGTTTCCACTGTGCAGAGAAGATATGTAAATGGCGATGAGAAGGTGGCAGAGGTACAGATAGTGAGTCATGACACAGACGCAAGGAGTGCACGCAATGTATACCTGATGGCACCTTCTAATCCCTTTGTTCGGCCTGGTTACTGTGAACCTAAATGGACAACTGGTTAGTTGCTGTTTAACAAACCTGAAGGTCACCTCTTTACCTCTAAGTACAGAAAAGAGGTTGTCTTCAGTCTCATTGCTTGAGCAGAAAGATGCTCAAATGAAAACGAGATCTGTGAAATATTTGCATTGACCAGGAATATAAATAGAGATTCATCCCCCCAGATATTCACTAATGGTACTGTAATTTAAAAAAAAATGTTTGAATTTGAGAGTGAGCTTAGTCTTTTATAGGCCTATAAAAGGTTCTACCTTTAGGCCTACACAGAGCTTCTCCTTTTCGCGTGCCAGACGCTTTTTCACACAGTGACGGACTGATCAACCGTCCCACTTGAATCAAACTGCAATCACTCCCCACCTCCCGCTGCTGACTGAGGACTCTGCTACTGAAGAGCTTGACGTCAGCCTCTTCCCACGAAGCCAGTATCCTCTCTAGATGCTTTTAAATACATCACTCACTGTTTCAGTCCATCCATGTTTCTTCTTCTGGTTCTTCAGTTTCATTTCATGGCCACAGGATGCTTGCCAGGACACAGAGACATTTTATTTGTCTTCTTATAATTTTAGTTAGGACACATTGCTCTACATATATAGCCCTTTCTAAGCCACTTGGTAAAAAGATGAACCAAAAGCCAGATCTGGATTTTAAAAAAAGGTGTAGTATTAGTTTACAGTTTTTGACATTCACTCATTCATTTTATTATCCAATTCAGGGTCTTAGAGGTCGGGGCTTAAGTCTGTCCCAGCTGCCATAGGTTGCGAGGCGGGGCACACCGTGGACAGGTCACGTATTGCGGGGCTCCTGTTTGTCATTATGCAGGCTAATCTTGTTACAAACTAGATACATTTGAGAGCCAGTGCGTTGTAGGCAGGCGATGCATTCCAGAGAGATGCACAGTACACAGAACACAAACGTGGCTTTCATTAACTCTGTATGTTGTGGTTTTTCTCTGTCAGTTGAAGGATTTTAGACACTACCCAGGTCAATCAAAGGATTGCTAAAGAAAAGAAAAAGGTATGAATGCACAGGGAAACAGGACCTCTGTGAAAAACAATGAAATTAAGGAATCCGACTGTGGAAGTTCATCATTCAGGTTGAGAACAGCTGTTTGAGAAAGACTCAGCTCAGCGCTGGAAATGAAATGTGTACGTGGGATGCATACCGAGTAAACTTCCATATACTGCGTTTAACATGTGGTTGGATACTGCTGAAATTTACCTTTTCAACATAACGATGGTTTACATAATAAACATTGCTGTACTTGCAATTATGTTATTTGTAAGAAACAAGGCAAAACATGTTTGGGGTTTTTTTGATTTTAAAGCATAAGACTGTGTGCTGTGTATTTTACATCCACAGCCGCACAGAAAAGGTATCTGGCAAAGATCTCCCTTTAATCAGCTCTTAAAACCATTTCACTTTGGATAAAATATACAATTTGACATTTGGATGCAAGTCTTTTATTAAGGCGTTAGGTGGGTGTAAAAAAAAAATTTAATTAAAATAAACAGATGATTTGATAAAGTTTTGTCGCAACCCACCAAAAAAGTACATCTGTAGAAACATTAAAGCCTTTAAAACGTCTCAAAGTAAATTTGGATGGATTTTTTTTTTGTACTTCTTAGTAATTTACTTTGTACAAAGTGGCAAACTGTTCTTCGTAATGACAAACAGCTCTAGACCGCAAAATCTGGAGCCGATTTACGAGGCATTAGCAAACGCTGGAGATGTGGGGTGAGAGGACAATGGGAGCGATGAAAATAAAGTACATACAATCTAAACAGACGTAAAAAGCCAAGTTTTTCCACTGTTTATGAAGTTTATGAATTGCAGTGAGAGGACCATAAGCCTAAAGAAAATGATATTTATGATAAAATCCTTTCTGATTTATGGGTTTCCCCTTAACACAGAAGAGTGCACATATATACACATAAAGGCTTCACAGCGTTGTCAGGGGGACAGATACTGTACAATTTAGGAACATAATTGATGCTCCTTTGCTGAGTACTCAACAATAATTCTGTCTTGCGACTAATTGCCCACCGTGTCAGCTGTCCTGTATAAAATGAACTGACACTGAAGTCTCTCAGATTTTGCGTTTCTTCCATTCTGGCTCCTGGTCGGGCTCCTCATCCTCTGATTCCTCTGCAAACACGGGCTCTGGCTGGGTCCTAAAGGGATTAACAAAGAGGAATGATTTACCTGCTTCTTTAAAAGTCTTCAGAGCAAAACAATGAAACGTACGAACAAAGAAAATCAGCAGAGCAAATGAGAAGTAATGGAGAAAGTTACATTTCTAGTGCACTGGAGTAAAGTTTTATTCTATATAGAATAAACATGGCTTACTGAAATTTAGGCCGTAAACTGAAACTTTCCAGATTAAAAATTTTTCAACACCAAAACATTAAACTAACCTGAAATGTTTTGAATGACTTGAATGAGTCTATTTAGCAACTGTCACTCCTGTGATCTGTTGGCCAGAGTCTCTGCAAGTTTATGATTATGATAAATGACTAACTGATCGTGTCAGCGCACGTGAGTTAAAAATAAAAAATAAAAAAAACAAAAAAACCCTCCTGTGACGACTTTGGCTCGTTGAGTACCTGGAACGTCAGCCTTTGTGACTTTTTAGTAAAATTTCTTCGGTGTTCTAAGAAATGAAGGTAAAGTCGTGCAAAAAATGTCCAAAAAACTGAAACATTCATGCACAAAATGTACAACTATCTTCGCAGACCGCCATAAAAAAAGGCACTGGCATGTCGTTGTGCTACCCTAAGACAAGTTTATCACGGCCAACACGGCAGCTTTATTAAGTAGCATCCAAACTACGCAGGTGTGTGAAGATAAATACACACAGTTGGAGGGTTTTTGCAGTTTACCTCAGAGAATAATCTAAAATTCTTAGACCAAAGAACACTCTGACAAGAATGAAAATAAAAGTTTATTTGAAGGTGATCATCAGATTTAAAAAATACACACGAATGTCTGGTGATGTTGGGACCAGGTAGATTTTCTCCTAAAACAAACATCAGATTTATGAGACATAATTCCATTAAATGCTGTCAGATTTCTGATTATTCCCATTTTGTTTTAAACAGTGTGCTTTAAGTTACACTGAGCTATGGTGTGTGCATACTATTGAGTCATTTTTTTCTTTGTTGTTGTGTATTTTAATGCAAAAGCTCTTCACTCTGAGTGCTTGTTTTTGCACCTTTCAAATAAACATGCATAATTGCAACAAAAAATCTATAGCTGCTTGCAACACCTCTAAGCATTAACTGAATGTTTAAACCCCCAGAGAGCTGTAACGGTGAAAAGTAGCCCACTGTGTGAGCAGCCAGGCTAACGTACTTCATCTGATTTACCTACTACACTGTGTATCACAAGGATACTAAATTTAACTCGAGCTTGTTTGCCTGCAGTCTGAAAGACAGACTGTTTGATTTGGCTCAGATTTGTTCCACGCTTACATAGCTGTCGGATCCTGATAGTGATCTAAAACTGTCTGTTGCTCTCTGCTCTGCAGTTTCGAGTGCGTGAAACAGTACAGCTTTTTAAACATTTATGTGTCACACCGGTAAGAAGAAACCTACCTATGTGACACCTCGCAGTACTAAAAAGCAGACACACTCATCTTACACTGTCTGATAATGAGAGAGGGTGGGTGGGTGAGCAGGACGGGAACCATCACATGGACACAGTGTGTGAATTATTCATGCATTTTTCTCTTACTCTGTGTATGCTGGAGCAATCCAATAAGGGTTCTCTGATGCTTCCTTGGCATGACGCAGGATGGCCTCTCGCGGGTTACTGTCGTCCGTTTTATCTAATGCGATGTTCTTCACAATGAATGACGACAACGTGCCACCGTGAGCTGCGACTCTGCCTCCTCGGCCTGTCAGTGCACACATTTAGTGGATTAGATCCAGCTGAGACTCATGAACATACAAAACTACATGTAAATTACTGAAACTGTGCATCTTCTAAGAGTTCAGCGAATCCTAAACATCAGTAAAGTGTTACTTTGAATAGTTGGCAGTAAATCAGCATGTCTGTGCAAACACAGCAATCCACCTCAACCAAAGCGTTCACAAAGAGGTTGCTGCCAATCGTTCCTGGATGGTTGCGGAGCGGTCTCTAGGCCCGTGTTACTGGGGCCTCATTCACTTAACCCCACCTTAATAGACAGGAACATGAGCTGATCATCATAATGGGCAAACAGCAGATGTAAGGCTATGATGAGTGTCCTTTTCTCACCAGTGGATATTAGACCTCTTAACTAGCTAATGAGCTGAAGTTCTGAAAACCGGGATTTTACATTTTTGAAACTTTGGCGACTTCACACGGCGTCACAGGAAAATCCCAGACGTGTGAGATTTATTTACTCATATTGATGTACTACATATTAATCTATAGTACAAAATGAGATGTTGGAAAGTGATGAAATTTGTGGGTTAGGTAATTAATTTTTTGGCATCAGTGGGAAAAAACGCGTAACCTTTCTCGATACTTAAATTCATGTGATCTGGGAGGAAAGCAGACTTCCAAACCTCCACTTAGCTTTGTTTTCAGGTTTAAGAAAATCTAGTTTGTGACATGAGGCTTTAAGAGAGAGGATGTTCCAGATGGCTGTTTAAAAATATAGATGTGACTCTCTTACTACTTTAAAACATAATGGGAACATTACGCTTTCTTCAATTATCGGGTTGTCACATATTTAATTTTTAGTCCCTCCACAAAGCAGCGCATACAAGCTCGGCTCTTTGCTGCAGCATCCGTATGCAGTTGGCTGGATTTGACTGCACTTAATGGAACTTTTGGGGGGGGAAACTTCCTGCTTTCCAGAGAGGACAACTTAAAGGATCAAGGATATGATACACACACATGCACGCATACTTAAAACATGTAGGGATTTCCTGCTGAAGCTGGGCCATAGGTTTGTTTGGGGATTGAGAGGCACCTCTTTCCATTGCTTGTAAGCATCCGGCCAACCACCAAACGTTACCTTGCAGTCATCCAAAGTCATTTTTCACAAAAAACAAACAATATAAAGTTCGTCTGTAATCTAAAAACCCAGGACCTGCTATCAAACATCCCACCTTTTCATGAAGTGGATCTTCTTTTTTCATTCGCAGACTGTTCAGTTTAGACTTGTGTCTTTTTCTCAACCTCATTGACACTTTTATTTGTTTCATTTATTTTACACACACACACACACACACACACACACACACACACACACACACACACACACACACACACACACACACACACACACACACACACACACACACACACACACACACACACGCATATATATATATATTTTTTAAATTTTTAATTTTTTTTCTTTCTATTTGTTATCTTTAAGCAAAGTTTGTGTTTACTATTTATAAGCCTCTATAAGAGTTAAACGACTCATACACTATTTGGTATATATTGAAAAACAATTATTTCCTTGAATCCAAAACATTTGATTGGCCTCATGTGCAGCTTAAGGTAGACCTGTTGTGATTGGCCTAAACTTCCAAATGGCTTAAACATGTCTTTTGAACCTAAAAAAAAAATCCCCACTGTGGAACCATTATATTGTTGCAAAGACATTGTGCTGAGGGATTAAGTGAAAAAACAGTGGTAGTGAAGAGACGGTGAGCCAGCTGGATACTGTGATACAGGAAACACTGTCTGGCCCTTTGCCATATTGAAACACAGCTCACAACGGTACCTATTATTATTTTTAGGTGTAGTATTTTGTAGAAGTGTGTTAAAAGGCGTCTTTAAAAAATATGAGGCAAGAGTAAATCTCTGAGAGACTGTTACAGCTCGACATCAGCTGGATTGCATAATACCAAGCAACAATACCAACAATTACGGGTTTGCACATCTGCCTTGCACCAAATCTTGTAGGTGTCCAGTTATGAACATGACTCACATCCAAAACAAAAACAGCTGCTGAATTGCAGCCAAACCTGATTAATCTAATCTTGTTTAACATCACTTTTCATATCACCTTTGGTCCTTTCGTTTTCTTCTTGTTCACTTAACTTTTTGGTTTTTGCATTACTAATTTTAAAAACAGGCAACAACAACAAAAAAGAAAAAAAAGAAGAAGAAAAGAGCATGTTACCTGGTCCAGACACCGGAGGCTCGGGTTTGTGGGATTTCTTTGGATCAAGTCTGTCCTTCTCCAGCTGTTTGCGTGTACTGCGCTGTCGGGCCTCTCTGAACATGGGTAAGGCATGAGCTGGAGACGCACAGAGTAAACAAGGACAATCAGTTGCTTAGGTAACTAAGACCAACACAACACTGCCACACAAATAAGTAGTCAAGGCACCGAGGAAATTGTCCTTAAAAAGTACAGACAGAAATAGAAACAGAAAGAAAATGAACACATTTCATGATTTCACCTACTGCACTGTTGGCATTAGATACACAGCGTACATGCAAAAACAGGCACTTGTACACAAATTATTTCCTTAGATCTAAAATCTACTTTATCGCCAAACCAGCATATCAGCTGTTCTCTGAGCCAGGATGCATCACGTTCCTCAAAAATAATGTTGAATATACAGGTTTTTCATGTCGCCTATATTAACTGATAAAACAATCACCAGAGTTTGTCAAATATCTTCACAGATATGGAGAACACAGTGTGCAAATATGTCACTAGCTGCATTTAAATACATTTTTGGATAGATTTGTGGGGATTTATGGTGAACAAATAGACTTAGAAGGACACCAGGTGCACAGATGGTGACCACATGTTCAACTTTACTGACTTACACGCTTGATTTTTGAGCTAAATACAAATGTCTGACATCATTAGTCATGTACAAGTCCATATAGAGGCTTCACAAATCTCAAGCAACGAGCTAGATGACTGCATTGTGCAACAAAACAACCTCCTATTCCAAAAAGTACTCAGGCTATAATTGTTTATTTTATTTGGTTTGGTGCGCTTCCTTCTGAAATTGAACATTATCTACAAGGACGACCCTCAAGAATTTTGACCACTTATATTTCATAAACAAGGCCCCAGGTGACCCCCAGCAGCGTCCCACCTATTGTGTTCTTCTTCTGCTGTAATGCACACCAGCATATTCAATACAAGTTTCAATTCAGACAATCACTCTACTGCTTTTCACACCTTTGTGCACACCATCACAACAAGGGCCTCCAGTACTTAAACTCATGAGTGCATGAGTGAACTGGTGCCCTGAAAAGTGTGTGGTGTGTGTGTGTGTGTGTGTGTCTGTGTGTGTGTGTGAACAAGCCAGTTTGTGTTAGAAAGTGTGTATGCTGCTCTTATCCTCAGGGGTTACAAGGTGACACTCTAGTAAAGAGTTAGATAAAGTGATTTTCCATTCAGGCGTCCCATCAGTGTTAATTCTTCTGCGCCATGCTACATTAAGCAAAAAGGTTACTGTTAACAGATTCCCTCGCTTTTCTCAATGGGCCATCACTTGCTTCCTGTGCCTTCTAATTTTCCAATGCCAGGGCATCAAGTGCGTCACTCACCACTTTTGGCAGTCAAATGCCTGTCTACTTCACACCCTGTTGGCATGGCAATGAAATCACATGATGCATTTGAAAAGGTAGCCCAAACAATAAATGGCATTTGAATGGGGTCCTAGAAGCCAATCAGCGACGCCGAGTCGGCAGCTGTCACAGTCCTCTAGGTCTATGACTTCAGTCTGGGGCCACAGGAGTGAGAGGCACGCACCCAACAGATGACAACCTCGTGTGTTGGTGATATGACAGCATGACAGGTAGTGTTTGTGTGTGTGGTTAGACCAGCAGCGGATCACGCCAGCGGGGGTGGGAGAGGAGGTTGTCCCTAGCGTGATCCTGCATAACCGAAGACCACATGGCCATCGCGTGGCACAGTGCCCCTCCGGCTTTATATTCAATACTCCACACCCAACTCCATCTGCTAATGAACACCCTGAACACTCACTAATTCCTCACAAAGCCTCCACCCGTCATGAGATAAAGCGTGTCTGAATATTTGTGTATGCGTGTGTGTCTGAGAGGGAGACAGAAAGAGAAGCCAGAGCGGATGTAAACCAGGACTGGCATTTTAGTTCTCTCTGTCTGAAAAGAAACATGCTCTGCTTGTCACGTCACATTTCGAAGATGGTTGGCATTGTTTTGGTAATACTTCTTTTGTCCTGTTTAAATCCCACTACCTTACTGTATGAAGCAGATTAGCAGATCGTCTGTGACTTGAGGGTGACATGATAAAAGCGGTATAAACTCACTGGCCACTTCGCTACTTACATCTCCTCAACTGCTCATTAATGCAAATATCCAATCAGCTGAGTATTTCAGAAACTACTGATCTACTATATTTTTTCACACTACGATTTCTAGGGTTTACAGATAATGGTCTGAAAAAAAGAAAAAAAAATTGAGTGAGCTCCAGTTCTCTGGGTGAAAATGCTTTGTTGATGTCAGAGGTGGAAGAGACTGATCAGACCACTTCAAGCTGATAGGAAGGAAACAATAACCCCAATAAGCACTTCTTACAACCAAGGTATACAGAAGAGCATCCCTGAACACACAATCGAGCCTTGAAGCAGTACAAGACCACAGTGTGAGCTCTGCCAGCTAGGAAACCGAGGCCACAATGCACAAAGGCTCATCACAATTAGACAACAGAGTATTGGAGAAATGTTGCTGGTCTGATGAGTCTTAATTTATGCTCTTAAATTCAGATAGCCGACTTAGAATTTGATTTAACCAACAAGAAAGCATGGATCCATCCTGCCAGGTATCAAAGGCTCAGGCTGGTGGTGGTACAATGGTAAGGGGGATATTACCTTGGAAAAGTTTAGGTCCCTTAGTCACGATTGTGCATCGTTTAAATGCAACACCCTACCTCAGTATTTTTGCTGACTATGTCGATCCTTTTATGACCACAGTGTACCCATCATCTGCTGGCTGCTTCCAGCCAGATAACACGGTGTGTCACAAACCTCAAATCAGCTCAGATTGTTTCTTGAACATGTGAGTTCACTGCACTCAAATGGCCTCCACAGTCTTCATATCTCAATTCAACAGAGCACCTTTAGAATGTGATGCAACGGGAGATTCACATCGTCCACGTGCAGCCGATAAATCTGCAGCCACTGTGTGATGCTGCCATGCCAATATGGACCAACATCTCTGAGAAATGCTTCCAACACCTTGTTGAATATATGTCACGAAGAATTCAACTCAGTACCCACCCAGTACTTAATAAAGTGGCCGATGAACATTTATGATTTGCATTAAAAAGGTGAGTAGACAAGCCCATCCAAGGTGCACCCTGGATGGGATAGACTCCAGCCCAACTATGACCCAGAATTGGACAAGCAGAAGCACATGGATGGATGGTGAAAATTAATAACACACACATTATTATTTGGAAAATCTGTTTTCTACACTTGTGTGTGGAGAAACTTACGTGTGATGATGTAGTCTTGTGTAAGAGCCTCTGCATGTTTCTCTTTGCGCTTACTCTTCACTACGCACAGCTTAGCCCCCCTGGAAAGAGTTATACATGGTGCTATTTAAAAATATTTCATAGAATACGTTTATGATCCTGTGCGCTCCAGATTTATGGTTAGAAATATCAGAATTACTTGTTATTTAAATAAGTCTCATCTGAGAATTTCACAACATACTTCAGATAAGGCAAAAGTGAGAGATTTATCTGTAAAAGGTCTAAACCGAACATACCTGTGACTTTTAACGGGGTCATAATACACCTTAACCAGCCCATTTCCAGTTCCCACCATTATCTGGTTAAGTTTGGGGTGCCACAGGCAGCGGACAACACTCTGAAATACAAGCAAAAAGAGACAAAAACAAAATAAGTCACTTAAGCACTTTTCTACAGTTACCCAAGGCTGTATGTGTGAGGAGGTTATACTTTCAAACAGAGGTCTGCATCAGTTTAGGTGCCAGATTTACAGGCAGATTTTTGCTCCTCAGCCAACAAAGGTAACAATCCTATTTTATTGTCCTGAGTATTGTGAGTGTGTGCGACCCAGGTTGGTTGTGATGCAGAGGGGATCAGTCCCAGCGTGCTCTGCTGCTCTAGTTGACTATATTTGGTTGTTGGGATGAGGCCTGGATCCCTCAGTCTGTGTGTGACAGATGGCCCAGTGCCAATACGCAAATGTGACCACATTTATCCAGAGGTTTGGTTGTGTGTGTGTGTCTGAGAGAGAGAAAGAAAAATACAGACAAAACAGGGGCAGAGTAAGAAATGTAGTCATAATGACGAAGACTCTGTTCATTCTGTGATATGCAAGTTACAGCAGAGAACTCGAAACCCCCTGCAGTTGTCTCTGCTTTCTTTGCACACGTTATTAGATCATCACAGCCTTCAGTGGTTAATTCTGGGCTATTGTTAACACACACTTTATCTGTGGATAAGCTTGTGGTCTGTATGTCCTGTAGTTGTACAGACATTTGGTACGTCTTTATATGGAACAGAGAAGGCAATCTGATGGGGTCTGGGACAGAAGCGTTGGATGGGGGTAGGTAGGACTATGACTGGGATGTCCTGGGATTCTGTGAGAGTGAAAGCTGCTTAACGCCCAGCTGTTCAGCTTCCCACCAGGATACCAGAGGACGGCGTCTCAATAGCACACATGTGATCATCCATACACAAGCACGTACATGCACACAAAAGAACAGACAGGGGAGGACTTGTACATAAATGTACATAGAGGAAAACACGCCTAGCTCTTTGATATGAAAACTATAAAGAGTCTACAAGTGTTCTATAAACCAAGATATTCTTTCACAGCATGAAAGAATAAAATTGCTTTACGCTGACCCATTTTCCAAACACACAATTAAGACTATCTATGCTTTCGGTAAATTAAAATCACACAACCAGGCTTCGTTTTACTCACGCCTCATACATATTTGCACCATCAAGCCAGTAGCTCAGTGGTGTGTCACTCATGAGACAGACGAGGGTTAATCTGCTCAACCAGATGAGCCAGCTGTAATTAATTGGAGGATCTAGAAAAATGCTAGAAACAGAACGTGCCGAACACACGCCTCGCATACTCTTTTCTTACAATGGGACATGCATAATTTGAGTTAATAATTCCAATACAAATGCATGTGCAATACATACACCGGCTCATTCACCTAGTCTCACACACACTCATCCAGCACTGAAACTATTTGGTCTGGGATAGATGCGTGTCCCAACACATACCAGCGTGCATGAATTATAATTTCACAAACTGTGGATTTGTTTCAGTTTAAATGTGTAATTAATTGGCCTATCAAAGTTGCTAAAGCAACAAAAGACAGTCATGCAGAGAAATGCAGACATTCACTTCACAGGTCCTGTCAAAGCACGCACTCAGAAAAGCCAATGCAACAGGATGAGTGACAAAGAGGCCAGAACAGCTACCTAGTCAAGTTAAAAAAACAACAACAACCAAGCAAAATTTGCTTTTTGATACCTCTGAAAATAACTGTGTTAACAGTGGAGCAAATCTAACATAAAAACCTGAGCAGCCTAAAACGACCTAGGTCAGCGGAGCCAATCCCAGCTGCACCCACCGAAAAACCCACAGCCAAGCACAGCTCAGTCCAGTCCAGACTGCTTTCCAGATATTCAGAGAAGCATGTTTATACTCCAGGAACCCCTGTTTACACTTCAAGTCCACAAAATTACATCACATTATGAGAGAGGAAACTTTAATCAGTCAGTTCTTCAGTAACATGCTTCTACGTTCCATCAGATTAAAATAACGAAGACTGACTATGGATAAACATAACAACAGCCACTTGGCCAATATATATGCCGATTATGAAATAAGGCACTAATGAGACATAACAGTCAGTTGTAGTTCTTGTTTGGCTGCTGGTGAGTGGATCCAAATGTGCACTGCTTCTGAAAGACTGAGTTATAATGGTTAAATGAACGCAGCAGAAGGAAAAAAGAGAGAAGAATGCTAGTTTAAGCAACTCCGCTACACAGTAAGAGGGCTACGCTCCAAGAAGTCTACAAATAGCACAAACTACCTGACTGGAACTCTGTGCTGACTTCCAAGGTACGCTTGGTAAGAGAAAACACAGGACACAGGTAAGTGTCAAAAGTCCCCTTTAAAGGTATGGTAAAGAGAACCGCTGACTTTCAGTGAGCTGTAAAAGAAGAACAGCTCACTTCAGAGGTTTTGTTTTTGTAGCTAAAGGAAAGAAGAAAATTAAATGTTGGTATCTGCACTTTAAACACTGTACAGTTATTCAGCGCTGGAGGTTTGGAGATGCATTTATGCATCTTACTTTAAAAGGTGCTCGATTTCCAGAAATGAAGCACTGATCAAGCAGAATTCAAAGCACCATTTAATGTCTAATTCTTGCTATATTAGACTTTGCAACAAAATTTAAAGTTTCTACCAAAATCTCTAATTTTTTCCAATCTTTACCCAAATATGCTAGACCATTCCTCACATTATCTTTTAGGAGCTCAGTCATTTAGAAGAGGTGTAAGGCAGAGCAGCCAATACTCCACACTGAATAAAGCCAGGAGAGATTGGTTTGGGCATCTGTGAATGTTCTGGGTATGCTGAAGAGATTTCATCTTTCTGCTAGCTTGGAAACACCTCAATGTCACCATTAAGTTGCTAGAGTCTCCCCAGCCACGTTGCCTAGGGAGACTGAGGTCTATATTATCTATGCTTATGGCTCACTCACACTAAAGCAGAGATAAGACAGCAACCTTCTTTAGACTAGAGGGCAAAAAAAATCTGTGTTTGCCCAGAGTTTGATGTTGCAGCATCTTCAGTCTTTGGGTGACCACTTTGGACTGCAAGGTGAATGCACAGGGCACCTGATAGGAGGCAACCTGTCTCCAAGCAAATGCAGTCCAACTTGGACTGACGGCACTCACTTTCAGACAAACTGGTGAAGATCTGCATAACTTGTAAACACAGAGTGCCAGAACATTGCAGCCTTGGGTAGTCTGCGTTGATGAGCTCAACAACTCTGTGATGAGTCTCTTTCCAATAAGGGACTAAAATCAACTGGTTGTATTCTGGTCATATTCCTATATAAAAACGTTACCGGGTGCCTATGTCATTCTGCAATTAAACTGCAAGTACATTACCATTTATTGAGGAGTTTCTGAATTTACAATTGTACTCTCTGAGGTTCTGGCTGGACTTTGAATGCAAATAGCCAGTGTAGATTTCAGTTTAATGTGAATGTAGACGACAGAGTTGCAGCAGACATATTTGCGATTTTCACGAAGTTGTCACAGACAGCACACAGATACAATAATTTTGGCTGTGCCACAGTGACCAAGCACTGCTTTTACTAGTAGAATGGCAGCATTAGACTGTTGCGTCCAGCTAAGTTGCAGGAAATAGATGGATGGAAGCACAACCAATCATCATCATTGTGTTTACAATCTCAGGTATCATTGGAAAGTGGACTACTGGCCTTGAGGTCTGCACTTTGCCATTGTGATTCTGCTTGTGGAGTATCAATAATATATGGCCAATACCGCGTGAATAACGTGAATTAAATTTGTGATTTATGGTGCACATATGTAGTTGGGATCAAATGTGCATATATAGATAAAATGACAATCGGCACACAGAAGTATGCACACACACACAGATTTACAGAAAGTGCATAAGTGCTGCAGGGTTCAGCCTCCATTTGAAATGCAGCCAAAGCTTGATGCTTTTTTAGTAAACAGGATCTCACCTGGTTTCTGACCCATCTGATGGACTAAGATAAGCTTAAGCGTGTCTGAAATATTTACCAAACAAGCCTGAAACAGCCTCTGCTCCTGAGCGCACCCCAGAATCCAGGTCTGAGGTTATGTAGACTGTTTAGTTAGAAATGATTGGTGGCCCTTCCTTTCACTCGCCTGCTTGGTACGCCACTTTATAAAGACTGCACTTAAATTCTGGAGCCATCCGAGAGCTGACGGCTGATGTAAACATAGTAAATAGCACATTCATCAGGTTCACCGAGTGCATGCTGGAGATAACTGATCTGCTGCACAAAACTAAATTCACACATCAAAATTACTTTAGAAAATCGAATTAACGTACTGATACGAGCAGGTGTGGGTGACCGATTTATACTTGAACTGCTGTGTTGTTGGTCAGCAGGTGGGGTGAAGAAGTTTATCAACTCAACACAGGAAAAAAATGGTCTAAGCTAGACAGTCTATAAATCATTCCTCCTGCAACCAACCACGCTTTTAAATCATGTTTTAGAAGAAGTTCTGATTCTTAAACACAAACATTTCTTTGTTTCTTACTTTATTTCTGTGTCCCTGTGGGCCAACAAACTGAGAGGTTTTAGGACATATAAAAGCAAATAAATCAGATTGAGACAGAATCCATATCAGGATTAAGTTCCTTTTGGAGGGAAAAGACATCAGTCAAAGTAGTCAGACCCAAAGAAGACAACAGGATTGCTGGTTTTTGTTCATTTAAGGTTTTTGTCTGTGTGGTAGAAATTTAACTCACATTTGTGGAGACAGTGACAGACTTTTTTCAATGATAAGCACCCACGAGCCCGTGCCGTGACTTCTGTTAAAAAGCCATGCCATGTTTCTAATGTGACATCCATTGAAATCTACTCAAACCATCCCACAGAAAAATTCTTTACTTGTAAAAACAGAGCCCCTTTTAACTGAATGCTGTTTTGCTGTTCTAGCATTAAACAACTTTCATTCTTATTTTGCTTTATTTAAGACTTTTTTGAAACATGCAGCTGGTATAAAAATAAAAAGTGTAATAAAATTAGGCAACTATTTGATATGTTGCCATTATCTGGTTTAAAAATAGGGCTTTGGTGGATTGTATCATTGCATTCTGTTTTCATTTACATTTCACAGTGTGTCCAAACTATTTTGCAAATGGGGTTGTAAATTTTGGGAATTTAGTACAATTAACACAAATAAAAGCACTGCCAAGACGACTTGCAGCCTGCATCATTCCTTAATCTAAAATCTTTTTTTCTGCCGCATTAGGCTGGATTTTGTGGGAAATCTACTGGATTTCTGTACGGCTCACAGTGTCAAAAGACAGGAAGAGGTATTTTGCCATCCTTTAAGTGAAACTGAGCTGACAGTTCCAGAGGTTCTTCGAATGGCAGATGGTGGAGCAAGTGAAAGGCCAATGGAAAAATCACTTCCAAATGTTTACCCTCTTCAGTAAAGGGAAAGAGAAGACAAACGTCCACAGAGTGATGCAAAGGAGGAGGAGGCTGTTAAGTTCTGCACAGACTCTTTGACCCAAAGAATCTGAGGTCTTTTGTTTTAATGCTACCTATAGTTAAAGTGAGAGCAAATGTTATAACCACAAGTGTGTAAGTGTTTGTGAGGCTTTTCAAATACTTAAATAAAAGACAACTTTAACTGCTTTGTCTAAATGACTGAGAACTACACATAAAATATGTGGATTATGGTGTTTGCAGATTAATAATGCCACCGTTTCTGAATGACAGCATTATCATTACACTCAGAGGTCAAGTGTACGCGTCAGTGTTTAGTCCTGTCAGGTTTGTGGAGTGTCGTCTTCTAACTGTCACCAATCAAAAGCCCTAGCTATTTAGAGAGCAGAAGACTTTTAAAAAAGCAAGACCACTCACGCAGAGAAGAAATGTGGCTTTGAATTTCATAAACAATAACGAAAAACTTGGTAGGTATCTTGGTACATACACTTCATGGTATTGGTGTGTCAATCAGTTGACAGTGAGGGGGTACCACGATGTTAAAACAAGCTGTTCTTTTTTGGCAACATTGTAACCAACAGAGAAATCAGAGAATTCATTTTGTGTCGACAGCATGGGCAATATGACAAAAGTTACCAAGTGTATGGACACCTGAAAGCTTAGATTTAAACTCAGTCATTTTATTTAAGACAGCTAAATTGCAATTATAAAACAGGAATGAATAATGTTTAATTTCAGGTTTAATTAAAAAACGGACCATTTTTCCACTCCCGTCAGTTAGTGCAGCTGAGCAGTGGGGTGTGCACTTAGTGTGAATGCTGTGCCAAGTTTTGCAAGATAACAGCAGCTGGCTGGCAGGGTTGGAGGGAGGACACACACACACACACACACACACACACACACACACACACACACACACACACACACACACACACACACACACACACACACACACACACACACACAGTCTTTTCTCTTTCCCCTCTCCTTCTTGTTCATTCAATGGCCTATGTGGAAGGAGCATGCCTCAGCCGAGGAAACTGAGTTAGAAAGCATTAGTTTCAGTCAGGACTCAATGTTATGTCTATAGATAGACACCATTAAATCTCTGAAAAGGGTTTGAAGATTGAGAGAAATAGGCGGAGGAGCAGGAAGCAGCAAAAAAAGTGCTTTCTACTGTCGAAAGCACCTCTTCAAATCATTTCAGCACCTATGGCTGGTTGCCCACACCAAATGGATTTCTGAGAAAGCGGGATTAGTGTAAAAGTACAGAGCATGCTCATGTGTCTGACAGAGTACTCTGTATGTGGGAATGGGACGTGTGGATTGTGTTTTTAGATAATTAAATTTCAAATATAACTCAAAGGCAGTGCGCATAAAAGTGTCAATAGCTGTCCTGCCAATAGGTTTGTGGGAATATTGCAGTAAGGAAAGGTCACATTGCCCCACTTTTACCTTTAACTTGCCTTTATTCTCCTTCAAAACTCAGCTCATAGAGCTCTGATTTTTTTTCTTACCTCAATGATGCTATATTATACTTTGTTTACAGTTGAATTCTGCTCACACACAGTGATTTACAGAGGAAAATGTCTAGTCACTGCCAGACAACTGTGCTACTTATTAGATAGAGAAAAAGAAAAAACCAAACCCACATTTCTTTATCTGCAGAAAGTCATTCTTTAGCTCAAATGATAATTTAAGGCAGTTTTGTAGAGTTGTTTATTGAGTTTAGCTCAAATTCTGCAACGCACATTTCAAGCTGAAATCGTAAAAAAGCAGTGGAATGCATTGGGCTAAACAGATCTTTAAATGAGTCCTTAGACTACTGCTGTTGTGTTTTCAAAACATTTTAAATGCTTCAGTTTTGCTTGAGCGCAAACCACTTATGTTGAGAAGGAATGACTGTCATATTGATTTCATTATGTGTCATTGTGTATTCATCATCTTTTCCACTGCTCGTTATGTGTTCAAGGTCACCGTTTTGTTTGTAACTAACATATCACATCAACGAGCTGGAAAACATCTTGTTGCTGTGGTTGTTGGGGATTTGAGGCAGAACTTACTGCGTTGGTGACATCTATTTCGTAGACCCTCTGAAACGAAATGCGGTCAAAGAAAACAAGCTTCCCATTTCCTTCATCTTTCTTCACCGACGTCCCCGTCACCAGAAGCTTGTCATCTGGGCTAAAACAGCAGTCGGTCCTAACAGGGAAAGTTACAGACATGCATTATTGGGTAATAATGCATATGTAAGCACTTACAGCAACAAACAGGCAGATTATAATTAAGATGACAGTTAAGACTCTCACATGGAAAAGTAGTTGGTCAGACCACTAACTCCATTCACTGGCTTCCTGAAGTTGCGTATATCCCACATCTTGAGAGTGTCATCGCCTAGGGGGGGAAAAAAATAACAGTTGGGGACAAAAGGCAAACTGTAAATTGTGAGTCACCACAGACAAAACTTTCCTGAAGGTTATTTACTTTACTATAGTGCAGCGCATCCTCCTTAACATAGAACAAGGCTGTATGAGTTATTTTTCATTTACATTACAGAATAATGTGAAGCGGAGGTCTCCTATGCAGAGTTATTCCAGTTTACCTTTGTGCTAGACATCTCTTCTCCAGATTACATACCAAGCTAAGTCTGCAGGGTGTTGCTGTTAATGATCCATGCTTATTTGTATACTCAGACTGAAAAGCCACTGCTTCCCAACAGTGATCTTTGACCTTAAAACAGACCCTCTTAGCTTGGGTACTGATGACCAGAACTTCAAATTGTGGCTGTTAAGCTTGGCAGATAAGGGTAAGGCTTTTTTAAAAACTTTATTTAATGTTCTGTTTTTTTTACCTCCACGTGAAGCAAGCATCGTGCCATCATAAGAAAAGCTGAGGCACGAGGTGTCCGATCCTGGGGTGTGGGCTTGCCGACAGTGGAACTTTGTATGAACCTAGAAAGACGGAAAAAGAGAAAGCGACGCATTAGCGACATCACTTTCTACAAGCCATGGTGCAGGTTTATGGTTTCATAATGATGTATATTACAACTGCATGATACAGATCCTATCTAAAGATCCCAGTTCGCTTCTGTTTGTTTTGCAAGTGACACAAATAGAAAGAACTGGACAAAAATGTTAAACATGTTAATATTTATCACATAAACATCACAGACAAAGCGACAGCTAGAAAAAAAATGCGATAAGTCTTGATAAGTAGTTTTTCCATAAACACAACGTTTTTTCGGTCAATATTAATCATCAGTGTTAAAAAGAGTTATTACAACCTCTTGATAAACCACTGCATGGAACTGCCACTGCTCTGCTTCAGTAGCAAGACATTTTAGTCTTGCTGTAGTAACAAAAAGACCTTTTCATTCCCTGTGTTTTCCAAACAACACACGGTTCCCATTTGCACTATGAGCACCAAATTATATATTTAACTATAAAGCCCTCTTAGAGCCTATGAAATACCAACAAGACACCACACTCTCCACTCTTTTCAGCAAGACCACAGACATTTATCTTGGCAAGTTTTTAAGTCCCTGCCTGACAGATGGTATTTTGATTTTTTCCTACCTGAAATGGTATTCTAATACTCTTACTGCACACAGTTTAGTAGCCTGCAACAGGCGAAAGACACACTATCACTGCCAGGGGTCACTCTTTGGTATATTAGCCATCTTTGAATGAGTGGTTTGCCACAATCGGCACCCAGTAACAACAACTAGCAATGCACAATATCAACAATTCCACTTCTCGACAACATGTGCAACAAGCATAGATGACAGTAGCAGCTAGTGGAGTGGACAAGATTATTTTTCATACTCTTCAAAGTGTGGCTATTAAGTATTAATTTAATAATATATGTTCTGTTCAATTTTTAATTATTATTATTTGAGGAAATAATTTGGCACAGAAATTGTGAAATATTAATGGGCTCTGGTGCTGCTGAGTGACTGCTGCTCGTCAAACACATTTCATTGCAATGTTGACCCTGTGCTAACTTGCATATGACAAATAAAACTGAAACTGAACTGAACTGAACTGGTGCCACTAATATATGGATTTTCACAAGGTTCTGTTTCTGAGCCCTTAATTTCTACTTACACGTTGATGCTTTGCCATAATATTTTTTTTTAAATCCTTATCATTTTAAGAAGCTTATGTTCAGTAAGAGAGATCTATGTTCAGTTTGGTTCCAGTATTCCTGGGTGCTCGGGCTAATCAACTGTTTATATCAATCTCAGCTCTGCAGTCATCACTTTGGCCCAATCATTTTCTTGCCTGCCTTCTGCGAGCCAATCAGACTCTGTTACATGTGCTTTAAATGCCATTGCGCTTATGTCATTCTGCCCTTTGTGCATCCCGCCTCAACTCCACCTCATCCTAGTCAGTAAGAGACTGGGATGATCAGCCTGCTTCATCTCTGCCACCGCCAGTGATTACACACTTCCATGAAATGCTCATGACACACAGTTATAGTTTCAAGCTAATGGAAAACAAGGTCTACATATGCACAGCTGATTCCAGTAACTGGTTGGCATAAGACTAAGCATTTAAAATGAAAAAGTTTATTATCATAGTTCTAACTTAAGCGTAATTACCCTCGATTTTACCCATTATCATTAAATACCTCAGTGCTGACTAGCATAATAACTGTTATTCAGTCATAATTTTCCATTGGGTAAGAAGCCGGGTACACCCTGGACAGGTTGTCAATCTGTCACACACAGACAGGCAACCAATCACACCCATGTTCACACCTGCGGTCAGTTTAGACTCATCAATTAACCTAATCCCATGTATGTCTTTGGACTGTGGGAGAAAACCCACAGAGACATAAAGAGATCCACACGGGAAAGTCCACTTCAGACTGGAGTCAAACCCAGGACCTTCTTGCTGTGAGGCAACAGGGATAGCCTCTGCCTCCTGTCATATAATTTTCCAGTTTAAGACAGAAAAATGTCAATCATTTTTATTTGGCAGGAATTTAGAAACTGTACTTTATGCTCAAATGTGAAGATTTCTTTTGTCCCGTGTGAATGTAAACTGAATACTTTTTTTGGGTTTGATTTTTGTTTTTACTGAATCAGCATATTAGTTGACTTTTGAAAATAACTGTTATTTTGCTAAATGGGTATGTGCAATTCTAAAACAGAGCTGGTACAGTTGCATCCCAACAGGCTACAGGGCAAAAGCAGCTGCAATGAAAACATAGGGGTAAATTGCACATCGCAAATTACAACCTTGAGGCAGCGTTTTCACTAAATTGTGAGTAAAGTTCTGCCCTTGTGAACATTTCCTTGGGATGTTGCTATATACAGAATGAGAACGTGATCCTACTCATCTTGGCTGTGATGACTAGCATGTATCAGTGAAAGCTAAGAAGGCTAAATGGCATTTCATTCAAGGTCATGGTATAGAGGTGAGAAAAGACAGAGTGAATGGACTTATCTTTGTAGTCTGCAGGGTAAAGACAGATAATAAGATTTAAACGATTATTCCTGACGATTCCCAGCCAATTCAAACGTCTACCCTGTATAAATAGTGGTTCCCAACACGCCTGTACCATTTCTTGCACTTCCTGAGTGCAAAAAGAGCAAGAGATTAACAGAATTGTAGATTTTCGTCTAGAGATGTTTTTTTTCCCATTGCTGATTCATCTAATAATTTTCCAAATCAATCAACTAGGCAATCCAAGAGCTCATGGGGATATCCAGAATGCTTGCCCCTAGTAACCATCCCTTCTCTCTGCTTCCTCCCGTTTACTTCCCAGCGCCTTTTACCTGAGAACAGTCAGATTTCAAAGATCGATCATTAATAGGCGCTGATGAAGCAACAGTCTGGGAAGTAGGCTTGCTAACACTCAAACAAACATAACCTTGGTTTATATAGCTCCACTTTCATTAATCCCAAACGGAATGCAAATAAATCAGTGGAAAGAGAATTGCAGAAACGCAGGCTTTAGACCAAAAAAAAGAGACGGATAAGGAATTTGAAGCACACAGTGTGGAAGACAGATAAGGCAGAAATATAGAGAAAAGCTGGCAAAAACTGCAGGAGAGAGTGGAGCGTGAGGTGAATGAGTGATGTACCCTGGCGATAACAGAAGGAAACGAGGCCATACTTCACTTCCAAAGTAAGTGGAGGGAAGTTATTAACTTGCACGAGACAGATAACACTGTTACCTTGGACTGTAGATAACGTGGATTACACTTCTTCAGGCCTCGGCCATTTAGTCTCTGTAGTCTCTCCTGGAATAATTTTCTGCTCCCCATCATCATTTTACTCATAGATTGCCTCTGACTTATTTCCATTTTTCTCCACAATTATCTTACAAATATCTGCCTATTCATTTTTTACTGCACCAAAATTGACTTGGTGGAAAGTGCGAAGCCAAGAGGTCAATTTAATACAGAAACTGGATTTTTTTTAATCTTATGCAAGCTATTTCAGTGCTAATAAGTAGCAGATAAAACATAACATATAATATGCGTAGCCCTTGGAAGACCCCATTTTAATCCTGCAATCACTTGCAATGACCATTGTGACTACTGAGCTTTGCAAATGGGCAATAGGGGCGTATCCAAACATGCATTCATGTAACTCTGCACCCATTCTATGGATGGTAACCACCAACTGGGTGGAGTCAGGACACTGTGAACAGGAGGCTTTTGCTCATGAACCGTTTTCTTGTAATTATCTTGTCTTAGCATGTTGCTCAGTTGCACACCATGAAATTAGCCAGCGGAGCAGATATGAACTGAGGCTCCTTTTAGGGGTTTGCAGGAAAATGTGCATAAGCGGTGCAGTCTCAGGGTGAGAACAAATGGCATCAAACATGTAAATATTACAACATAAATATTCAGCGAGGGGAAGGTGATGAAATCTTCTTTACATAACTCCACGAAAGAACTGCACAGATGTGCTTTTTTCCCATCTGAATCAACCTGTTCCGTGACCTCAAAATGCACAGCCGCAGTTTTCGTCAGCTCGACTAATAAGAAAAGTTATGAGTACTTGTTCAACCTGTGATGAATCACTCCGCGATGTGGTTTTTCTTTCATCTTTTCATCTGACATCTTTCTTTCTAAGATGAACACCATCTGCTGTAAGCACATGCTGTGTTTTGACCCCTTTCATGTCCTTTTGTTACATTATACTTTTGTCTGTGTGTTTTCTTTGAACTGAAAATACGTTTCAGCACTTCCTTTTGTCATCCAAACAAACAACCAGACAGCAGATAGGAAAACCCTTGCCTGAATCTGGAGTAAATTATCAAAAAATGAAAAGGAAAAAACTGAGAAAAAGATGCTAAATGGGTGTAAATATAAGACAGAGGTTTTTTTTTTCATAAATAGTTTATACAGAAACTGGGGGAAAGCAGCACCTTTAATACGTAGTTTGTGGTTGTTCTAGATGCATACTGCAAACATACACCCCCGTCAGCTATTTCTAGATCATATACTGCTGTTGTGAAAGCTTGAGTATTTATTTACTGTCCTGATGTTGGCTGGCATTAGCAGATGCCATTGCGTTTGCTTCCTGTGCTAATCTACACAGCCGGCCTGTGAAACCAGATTCTCGTACACTGTTTGAAACTTCACTCGTGCCTTGTGACATCCTCTGTAAGCTGTAGCCTCTTCTCCAGCCAGCAGGCACGAAGCTAAATGATTAAGATTTTTTTCAGAAAGCTAATGTGCGTATTTTTATAAACAGCATCCAGTAAATTATGAAAGTCTTCCATATATGCATGCACGTATGCGCGCACACATTCGGCAGCACGAGCTGATACATAGCTGAAGGAACACAGCATTGGGTTTCATCCTGAGCAGACTATGATAACAATCTACCGCAGCGCCAACTGTTCCAAATCACGCTATCAGAGCATTACATAAATACTGCAGGGCTCTTTATCTCAGCTCCTTTCATACTTTTACAACAGCACACCTGAAAGACTTGATGAACAGTGTTCAGTTAGTTTCACATCTCATTCTGACCTCTGTTACTCCCTGAGGATCGAGTGGCCAAACCACAGTCCTAACAGCTGCTCTGATCTTTCATGGAAATCAACAAGTGGTGGTGGCGAAGAGGTTCTAGATAATCCAAATGTTCGCTATGGTAAAGTAACTGTATTCCTCTATGTCTCAGTTACAAAAGGCTATAGATGGCAGGAATATTTTGCACATGCTTCTCTTTTCTTCCAAGTCCCTTCAAGGTCAAAAAAGGACACAACAATGAAAGCGTTGGCATTGCTTTCCACTTCTCTAACATCTTTTAGTGGACCTAGACTGTATGTATAAGACAGAGATAGTCTTGATGTTTTGAAAACTTACGTGATGAGCAACGGGTGGATCTGACAGTAATCTAAAAGCGAGTGACACTAGGGTCATAAATTCAGAGAACAAAATAAGCTATAGGCTTCTCTATAATGGGGATTTCTTTTTTTCAGTTAGAAGAGTTGCCTCCTGCTGGGTATTAGAAAGAATGCAGGTTTAAGGCGCTACCACAGTGGTTTCACTTTTCAGACATGTCTAATCGTCGATACACCGCCTATGAGAAGTCCCATATACAGCATAGTCAGACAGAGAATCAAAGTGTGTGGCAATGAGAAAAACAATGAGCAAGTCAAAATGACGGGACTAAGATATGACTAAGATGTCATAAATGTTTATGATTATGATGTCTCTAGAGTGCTTGGTGGATTTATTCATTTTTAGATGCTCTCACGTGTTGTCAAATCCTAGATCATTTAGAAACATGAGTTGACTTTAAGAGGTTCTGATCGCCTTTCCTAATTTATCTTTGAGCACCCACTGGATTTACTACTTTACAGTGAAAATACTATGTTCTGAAGGTGCGTTAATCAAACTTCTAGAGGACCCTGCACTGAGAGGTTCATGGCAGTAAGCTATTCAGTGGCATTTTAATAGCTTCCCTTGTAATCAGTGCTAATTTCGTTGACCAATACTTTTCATCACAGTTTTATTAATGACAATTTTTTTTCCTGGTGAAAGCAAGACGATAACTAAACAAAAGCTAATGCACAAGTTAAAAAAAGCTGATGAAAGGTGTTAACACTTTCATCAACGAGCAAAAACGAGAGGCATGCTGGAGAGACGAGATCCAATCGAAACTAATTAAATTGTGTAGAAAGGTGGGACGCATTTGGAAGTGATCCAATCAGAAGTGATGTCCTTCTATGGTAAGGTTAGATGAGCACATTTAATCTGTCCCCAGGAAACGGTACAACTATTTACTGTACTCCTTGTTTCTAATGAAAACTCAGCAAAATGTTAACGCTTTGGAGGAAGAGACGGGTGGACATAGGGACACATTTCACACGAAGCAGGTCTCACAGGTAAAAAAAAAAAAAAGTTTACACTCTATATTTTGGTCAACTGAATCAACTTTAGATTTAGTCTACTGTAATCTTATGACATTTAGTCTAATAAAATGAAACAATTCAGATGCTTAAATTATGAATAAAACTAAATGGCATTTTAATAAAAAAACAAACTATGACTAAAACAACCTCAAAATCTGTTGTCAAGATTAATGCTGCTTGTTTAACTTCCCAAACAAAAACCTGATCTATGCTATGAATTTTTAAAGGTCTTTTCCTAGTTTGAGGATCTCATCGGTATATTTGATGTCTCTGGCAAGACAAAAACCTTGACTTACTAATCATTAAGTAAGTCAATGTTCTCACACATGTAATAATGAAGTCAATAATGAACTACCTCTGAATATCTTTCTTTTCAATTAATATCTCTATTTCAGATCAAGTGGAAAACTAATTTCAGCTATGTTCAACTCCTACACTTACCAAACCGAAATCCACTTCTAGACAGAAAAAGCAGTGTTATAAGAGTGATTAATGGAATGAAATTGAGTCTGGACTCTTAATTACTTTTATATCAAGAGTAATATAAGATCAAAGTAAGACACAGCAGGACCAGCTTAACACTTACTGATTGCTCTTATTCAAAAGCTTGAAAGTGTGGCAGATTTTTTTTCTTTTTGCTTGCATATCTGATTCACCACCTAACCGTAATACTCTGCACTGTGTAGTTTTTCAAAACCACCTCTTTTGGGGTCCCACTTTGAAGTCTGGAAGCATGTAAGTTCACCTATGACGCCATAACATTCCTCAGGTCTCTGTGGTAATGTTTTGGAGCAAAAAACCTGGACCATCAATGCACCCAGTATCACAAAGTGCACATTACCTGGCAACCATTTAAATGCAGTCTTGCAATCCTGGCACCGACCCCTTTGGTCAGGGAATGAACATGCAATCACCCTCTGTGGCAGTGCACCGAACGAGACCTACTTGACTCCCATCGCAGGATCAATCAACTCATGTCGGGGTTCAAGAGCGCGATGTGTCACTCTCAATAGCTTCTCTTCAGACTGAGCCATAGATCAAGGTCATGTATGAGATTGATCATGATTGATCTGCCTGCATATTCTTGCCATGAGTAATAGTGGCAATACAACAGCAGATAGGCCTCATTTAAAAGCGGGGGGAGGGAGCAGCAATAAAAGCATCGGGAGGTCAACTCCTTTTTAGGCTTGTGGCTAAATTCGAGTCAGCAGCACAGGTTGCTGATTAGGGCAGAGGGCACCAACTAAATTCTTGAGCCATTCAGAGAGGACAGGCTCCAGTGGTCAGGAAACAGCCATGACTATTGTAAGCTGCTATGGGACGCAGGGTAAATATTTAGCTTGGAGAAGGAGGGGTAATAAATTTTGAGAGCTTTAACCCAATTGCAAAAAGCATGCTGCTGTGAGCAGCACAGGGGTGGGATGATGGGTGACTGGAGCAGAGAAGGGAGTCTATATAAAGTGGGGTTCATAGAAGCAAAGACTTACAATAGGAAAGCCGTTAGAGCCACACACAAAAAAAAAAATCATACAAACTACACTGTATTTGATTATGAAGCCGGTTGTTGGATTAATTAACATGACGACTACTTCCCATTTCCCTAATCTGGATAAGCTTTTATGCCCAATGAGTCTGTTCCAACTCACTCACTACAGCTTACTATTACTATTTCTGTTCTCACACAAAATAACAAAAGCATTCACCCCTGACCACAGATAGAGCTGAACAGATGAAAGGATATGAAGTGGAACAAAAAGAATTAGAGAACAAATGTACTGAAAAATAACTTATTATTCTTCAGATAGTTAAAATTAGACTTATACTGACAAATAGTCAAAAACTGTCCTTAAACTGGCTTCTATTAAGCAGTGTATATGTTTAATAGAAGCATAATGAATAATCCTTATTCAATTTTATGTTCAATCCTAAAATCTACGTTTTCAGCGTTTAAGGACTCTCTGATGACAAAATATCAGCCTATAATCTCCCAGAATGCAATGATGCCTGCTAAATTGATTGCTGTAGGTCCACTAAACTCTTTTTCCCTTTCTCATCTTGCCATCCATTCATGGGGGTAAATGTTTTGTGTGACTAATGAGAAGAACAATAAACTGTCAGATATGCCTTGTCGCCAATAAACAGGAAACAGCAGCATTTGGAGCCCAGGCAATGACATCACATCACTGCGACAGTCATGAAGGAGAAAAGATGAAGCAAATTAGTAAGACATTGAAGAATGTGTTACGGAGTAAGAATCAGTGAAAAAAACTTTCGAGTCACCCAAAAGATCTGATGGACGTCATGCTTTCTCAACCCTGAATGGAAGTCATTTTTATCAACAGTGTTGATTTGTCAAATAACTCAAATGAAAAGAGCCAAATAAGTGAGTGCACTGCTTGCCAGAAGCCAAGATCAACTATTACCTCAACGATGTGAATCTTGAGGAAAGGAATGTACACTTTGATCACTTAATTTCCTAATTACCTAATTAAATGGAAAATGTGCAGGGGGAAATTGTGATTGGGCCTCCCAGCAACTTTCATGTAACTCACCTCAATCATTAACCATCAGTTAATTCTGTTACATAAGTAGCTCTTTCAAGCCATTCTAGGGGAGAGGCTCTAGGGGGGTCATAACATGTGCTGGCTTTCCCCCAGTATCAACATCAGATCAAATATTTGATCACATCAATACTTCAGACTGGGCTACTTCCAGTTTAGACAAAAGCATTTTAAATTCTTTGGGCTTAGCGATTTGCCGACCTCTGACCTCTCTGGCCTGTGACCTGAGTCTCATGACTCTGTACTTGAGCCCATAAGAAAACAGACATCCAATGTTTACAATCCACTGCACATTGCCGGCGGCTGGCATGCGTTTGTGTTTTAAAACTCACACTGAGGTTTCTGTCCCAGATCTGGATAGTGCCATCTTGGCAGCCCGCTGCGATGAGCTTCCCGTCGCGGCTGTAGGTGCAGCATGTGGGGATGACCTTCTTACCCTGGAAGGAGCGAGGCTTGAACACAGACTTGTGCTTCTTCTCTGAATTGAGGTCCCATGTGCGCACAGTGCTGTGAACAGACAGATCATTTCATTTATCCTAACCCGGTTGTCATGAATCACTCAAAAAACGTCCGTCTCTCACAACATATTTGTTCTTTAACACCTGCATCCACCATAAATCAGAACTGTGGCGATACGGTGTCCCCCGTCATTTCGTGAAACTTTAGGTCAGGCAGCTCTGTGACGCAGGGTGAGAAGTTTTGCGAAGAGCAAAACAGTAGATCAGTCTGACAGGTACGTCTGAAGCGTCCATGAAGTCCTGATTCTCTTTCCTACATCTGCTGAACACATTACACAACCTGGAGCACTGAGAGTGGGGGTTTGAATGCAGACCCGTCGTAAAATACAAATGAGAGATTTCATTCCAAAACATCATAAAATGAGAGTAAAACAATAAGCCCTCATGGATACAGGTCAGTCTGTGTAACACTTTACAGTTCTTTCCTGGATCGAAACCAAAAATGAGCTTGAAACTTTCTGCGAAAGCACCATTAATGCTGTACGATCTATTCATGCTTTGAAGCTACATATGCTGTCATACAGAGGATAAACCTATTTATTGATTGATTTATCCACTAAAACTGCATAATGACAAATGTTGCTAGCTTAAAATTCAGAATGAGCATTCATCTAAAAAAAATGCAACAAAAATGCAGTTTTAATACTTACATTTTTGTACATTGCAAATAAATATAGAGTTTAAATGATGCTTTTATCTGCCTTTCTCCTTAATCTAGCTCTGCATCATCTCAGACTGATAAAGCAAAGATGGCAAAAAAATGATAACAGCACTAACTCAGGTGCCCACCAGTGATGAGACAGACTTCACCTCCCACATTTATTTATTGGAAGGGTGTTAGTACACATCGACATGCCAGCACCTCACATGCTCCCACCAACATTCGTGACAGACACGGTTCATCCAAATGTGTCTGTGAACCCACTGCCTGCTTTAGTGGGTATCTTGACCTCTGGGTCACGGGGTCAGCAGGGGAGTATAAACATACAAGCAGGGCTGCTACTAACAGCCAGGGAAGGATTCCACTGTGGCCGGCTACAAAATCACAGACACACACACTCAACTGTGTTTGGATAAGTCTAACAATGTGATACAAATGCCAGCTGAAGACATATGGTTTGAGTGAAAACCTGCAAGGGTCAAATAAAACTCTGATGCATAGTTGTGTTTAAATCCACATAACATGAAAGCTGTTAAATCACAGAAAAGAAAAAATCCTGCTGGGAAAAAAGTGCAAAGGCCACATGTATAAAATCATATTTTCCAATGCAAACTGGAGGCTTCTGCACTGTACAGTAAGCTGTTTACACAGCAGATTTCCATGTGTATGTGTGTGAGTGAGGGATAAAGAGCGATAGCCACAAACTCAGTGACATATTGGTCCACCTGCTGCCTCACACAGACATCTCAATTCTGTTTACAGGAGACTGTGGGCGAGTGTCAAGCCAACAAAGACAACATGACCTTTCATGTACCACACAAAACCTGGAATGGTATTTATCATAAGAAACTCTTTCCAAAACATGGCATTGCTGGCTGTCAGAGGGATAGAGCAGAGAGGCTGGAGCCCACCAGTGCTGAGCAGAGCGTAAGTGATGGGGAAAGACTGCACACAGTCACTTGTCGGGAGTAAGATGCTTGTGGGAAACTGAGGGCTATCTAAAGGGGTTCATTTTAGTTTTAACCTCCTAAGACCCGAACTCTTCCACTGCATGCATTTTTAATTTCTCTTTGATATTTGGGCATATTGGGGCCCAATGAATGTAAAAACAAAAAATTACCAGATTTTTTTTTTACCTTATTTTTGTTTTTAAGAAAAATAAGAGCCACATATGAGTATATCCGTTTAAAATTTTGATAGAACAGTAGCAGTATAATGTCCTTGTAAGTGGATATTGGGCCCTTGTAGAGCAAAATTCAGTATTTTGGTCTAAATAACCCAAAATGGATGGTTGGGGGAAGGGGATAACAGGTATATATTAAAAAATGATACACAGCATGAACAAAAAACATTAGCAGGTAATAACATTGTCATTTCCCATTTCTCAAAGGCCTGTTTTCCCTTCAATCAGCAGCCCCATTTTCTTGCACAAATGCTTCACAGGCAGAGGGGTGAATGCAATAAAATGAGACCCATTCAACCTCAGTCATGCATGTGCACTTTACGAGGTAGCACAGTCGTTGACACATCAACTGAGGAGTGACAGCTCCCTAGGCCTCGGGTTTTATCTGTACATCAGGTTATAGGCCCAGTGGGGGTGACGGCTGCTAGGATCACCTTTCCAGATTACGGGATGAAGAAGAGAGACGGAAAAGAAGAGCGTTCGTCTTGTTTAAGGTTGTTTATTGGTCGAATTCCAGTGATAGACTGAATTGCCTGTTTCCTGGTTGACTGACTAACTGGGGCTCTGTTATGAGAAAGGAGGATTAGGAGGGAAGATGCTCAATCTTCCATCACAGCTAAAGAAGATAACAGAGGGATTTAGGAGGCATGCACACAATTGTACCCAAGCAATGAATCAAAAGGAGGAAGATTGTGGCCATTGTGGCACAGATGGGCTGTGGGTACAGTGACAGACTCATTCACAAAACTTCACAACATTTTCACAACATTGTTTCTGCTCAGTAGCAAGGCGGGTGAGACCATACACTACAAAAGGCAAAATGCCTAGAAAAATATCTCTTGAGCTTGAGTCAAGGCAGGTTTTCAGATTTAATCAAGCAAAGGTGTGATAAGTTGCGACCCAGTTCGCTGACAAAAGAAACAAACACTGTATTTCACAGCTCTCACAGTAAAAAACTAGAGGCTACTGTCAGTCAAAAATTCAGCCATGGCTATAAATTGAACAAAAAGGATTAATGCACTCCTTAAAGCTATGGTATGTGCATTCGTGGGCAGAATATGGAACACTTGCAATGTAAGGTGGGAAAGAGTTAGCTAGCAGATCATTACATGAAGGAACCTTTTAAAAACAAGCGCGTTCATGCTCACAGGTGTACACACGGGTGCTCACACACACAAACTACACCCTTTTTGGCTCCTACCACAAAGCACACTGTGTGCTGTCGATCTTACGTGCTGCACAATAATGTTTAATATTTAGTATTTACTGTTATATTCCCATATATCATCATGATGTTGTTTATTGTATTGCTCTCGTTTTCTTCTGCTTGTTTACTTTTTTCATTCTCAACAGGTGAAACTAAAAAAGTATCTATTGTTAGCTAGTGTTTTCTCTTCTGGTTTTTTTTTTTTATCTCCATACAGGTGATCCAGGTGTTTTGTTTGTTTTTCTTTTTTTTCTTCCCCCCTTTCTCACCATCTCTTCTCCCCTCTATTTTTCTTTCCCTCCCTCTCTTTCTTTCATTCTTTCTCCCTGTCCTATCCCCCAGTCATGTCTGTCCCGTCTTTAAAAAGCGAAAATAAAATAAATACATAATTATAATAAAGGTCAATCAAATGGACCAATATAGAAAGGCCATGATGATCCACTTGGTAAAGTAAATCCACTTGGCATCTTTCTTGGCCTTCAGACAACAATTCTGAAGGCTAAAGATCCAAACGGGACAGGCAAAAAAAAAAAGGTGGGAAAGAGTTGGAGATGTGCTGGACTGTGGATGAACCCATCCAGTTCAGTGAATTGCCCCAACATGCTCACCCACACTTTGAGGAGTCATTCCTCATATGTCATCCATTTAACTCTCCTTTCCTTTAAAATTGAAAGTAAACTATTACCAAGGGCACTGATAAGCAACTGACTTGCTAATTCGTCAAGATCCGAGTGCTAGAGATGATCAATTAGCGCTCACAGCAGACAAAAGCAGAGAGAGGGAGAGACAGAAGTACGGCCTTACACAAAAGTACCATTCTCGCAAAACAAGATGAATTACTACCACAATTTATCCATGCGTTAAATCACAAATCTGCTTTATGTGACTTTGTGTTTGTCGATGCTCTCTAGTATGACACATTTCAAATCAAATGTTTAGTTTGAGCACATGACAAAGACAAACAATTTGTCAGCAGTAAAAGGCCCTGCCATGTTGTCCTCTGGGTCTCCTTGTATACAGCTACACATCCAAGTCCAGCTGCAGCCCTGACAGCAGGCCAGCGCGAAGGGAATCCCTGGCATTCAAACCTCCTGGAAACATTCCTCAAATTGTGTGTATTTGTGTGTACACATGCTCGAGTGTGCTTCAAGACTCGACAGAAGTAACATGTGGGCCCAATTAGAACGTCGCCATTTGTCCTGTCCTCTGTGCTCCACTGGCTGAAATTTCAGTCGCAAAAAAAGGAACATAACATGGATTTTTAACCTTCTCCTAGGCACTATAAAACTACGTACGTAAAGCCAAGAATCACCAATGTCCTATCCTTCAAAACAACAACACAAATCTTTCCAGTGTTATACTTGGTAAACTGTTTTATGCCATGTGGTTAGTTAAGTGTTAAAGATTTGGTGCATTAGAAGTTTTTAAAAAAGCTCCTAATATACACCAAGTCAGAGCTATATTTTAACTTTTTTACTACTTCAAGATCAGCCCTGCCAAAGAAATACTTCCACTGAGAGTTAACCCAGCAAGTATTGCTTTCACTTTCTTGGAAATAAAATCTGTGGCTTTCAAACATTCACCAAAGACTCAGACGCAGTTAAAGTTGCTTCATACTTGTGCGGTTTGTTCCTTAGGATCAAACATGAATACTGTTGGAAAACACTGTTTCATTTTACAACTGCACGCTCTCAAACAGAATGACAGAAGAATGTGAAATGTTGACACACACAGCGCAACACTTTTCACTGACTGACTCGATTTGCACAGTTCTACTGAAGCCCTATTCAAGCCACAGTTTCTGAGAACACCCTGCTGCTATATTATCAGTACTTCCCTCTCATCCACTTCCTCCCAGGAGGGGAAAAAAAAGTATGGGTTAATGAAATCATTCAAGGCGCTGGGAGGTAGCCCTTAATGAATGAGATTCCACACTACTGGGGGATCTTTAATTAAGAAGCTGGGCGGTCCAGTGATCATGCTTAATAACCTATTCAAGTAAACACAACAAAGAGCCTCTAACTAGGCAGAAAGACCTGGAAAAGCCTGGATGTTGGTCTAATATTGAAGCAGACAGACAGCAGCTGACAGCCTCTCATACTACTGGCCAACTGCTGGCCCATTCTCAAGACGTCCACTGACTACCGCCTGGCCCCTGTGCAGAATCCATACTTATTCACTAAAGTGAATGGAGTGGATGGTGAGACAAAGAAAAGGAGGAAGACTGTCCTTAATAACTGAAGCATTAATAATCCATGATGAAAAGCATAGTTGTCTATAAGGTTTCAGTGATGGTACTGTGTGTTTCACACCTTCATGGCAACAGAACAGTCTCATTAATGTAGAAAGATCCATAGACAGTTAGATCCTCGACAAACCATCTGTGATGTTGTAAATCACTGAGTAAACCCACATAAATTAAAAGTGAGCAAACGAAAGGAACTAATATGAAGGGACAGCCTTCCAAATTATTATAGCCTGAGTCAAGCAAAAAAACCCACAAATATATATTATTAATATTTACCCTATTGTGGCAACTGTAGTTTAAGCAACTTATCACACATATCGCAATTTTAAGCATTCTTCTGCAAACCTTGTGTGCTTAAAGTTATCTGTTTAGGACTTGTAGTAACATGCAGTTTGCTCCAAAGCAACAAAAAGGAATTTTTGATTGAAAACATTGTAGGTTCAGGGACAGTGTGTCCACCAATAAAGTGAAATTCTGCACCAAGTTGCAAAGCACATTACCAACACAATAAGGTGGGAAAATGTAACCAGGAACAACCTCCTCCACCTGTAAATCAACATAGCCACCCCCCCCCCCTTTCTGTCTTTGCCACATCTCTGAGACTCAGCTTGCCACACCGACTGGGTCTGCTGCTGTGAACCTCTCCCGCATGCAGCCCCTCTGCCTATGAATGGCTCCCTGTGCGCTCCTCTCTGCTGCTCTCCTGTTAGCTGGCCAGGAGAAACACCCAATGCTAACGTGCCAGGGGAGGATTTCCAGAGCCTCAATGAGAGCTAATTAAACCAACCTCCACATCTGGGGGAGCAGTAACACTGGTAAACACTGGGCTGCGGGCTGCCCGCAAAGTCGGGCCCTTGTTTCTCCTTAATGATGATAGCCCTAGGTGTCTCTACTGCTGTCTGTCACACTCTCTTAGACTCATCAATGTGCTGTAGCTTAGTCATACTCTTTGCCTTACAAATGTTCCCGCACACCTATACACAGGACAAAGAATTACAGCTTCTACAGGTTTAGTGCTGATTTAAGGATGTCGCTGACTGTTAAAACTCTGCGGTCTGAAGCAAACAATATAAATATCTGTGTATGACAGCGGTTGATCTGGTCTAAATCACTGCATACAAATAAAGGGCTCCATTTGGACAACATCCAGTATAAATATGCCATGTGCAAACACACAGCTATGAGGCCATGCTACAATCTTCAGAGGCATAGTCTGGATTAGAGGACTCCCTGCTGGTGACGGAGGGGATGAGAGCGAAGAAAAGTCTGTTCGGTGAGAGCATTACTTTGAAAATCCGACAGTAAGAATTACTAAATATAATGCTGGACATTAATTTTGTATCAAAGAGGTGTGGCCTATGTATGATGGGTGTCACTGTGCTATCAGCAGTGCTCTGAAGATGAGAAAGGGTATTTCTCACTGACTGCATACTCTTCAATGTCCTGGGGGACTTTCTCAATGATTATTACTATAAATGGCACACGCTGGTTTGTAAAACAGAGACTCCTTGTTATGCCTGTAAATGAAGTGTACAGGAAAGTAACCAGTTATTGTTTAGAAAGACCAGAGGCTTGTTTTCATTTAAAGAGATAAAATCAGCCAAGATCAAAACTCACTATACAAAATACACATGCTTGGTGAGTCACAAAGAGATTAGGCCCATCTAAAAGCCATTTCTGTTTTCTCCTCCCTGAAAATCAAGACGGCTCACTGTGAAGCTTAACAACTGGATGCACAACATGTGCAATGTAACAGCGCGAGAAAGACAACGGGGGCGTGGAGGCTTCTGCCTTTAACTCAAAGCTTACAATGCTTGGTTAAAACTTACCCATCATTGGAGCAGGTCATGAACTCTTCTTTAATCTTGGGATGCCAGCACCCACAATTAAGCATAGCTGTGTGGCCCTGAGAAAAAAAAGAGCATAAAGTGAAAATAAACAAATGCACACTTTTAACAAGCACTAAAATGACCCAATATCCTGTGGCTGGCTTCCAGTGGCTTTATTTATTTTGGATCCAGTGCACAGCAGATATTGAGTTTCCTTTTCTTCACAGCAGTTTTTAAACACTTTATATTCAAGGGCAAGCCACAGAAATAGTAGCTAGCATGTGCTGTTAGAAACTTGAAAGGAGATTAAGACATATTTCGTAATCGTGCGTACAAATAAAGAGTAAAGACAGCTGTTGTTTTTCCATTTTGGCAAAACTTGCAACACAAAAGGTCAGCAGATAATTAATCCGATGGTGAATTTTCCAGCACTGTGCATTACAAATGTGAGTCCTTTATCCATATCCTTAATTAGGTTACACTGTAATACATTGACTTTACATTAACGTTCGGATTTCCTCGACATAAGTCTCACTTTACAACTGTGCTAGTGAACTCAGAGGCCCTGGAACAGTGAGCTCTTTGCTCTTTGTAACTTCTACACATTTCCTCTGCTGGAGAGTCATGTGGAGAATTACTCATAACAAATAACTTCAAAGCAGTATAACCCAGAGAGAGGCCTCTCTGGCTGCCAGGTCAGAGTGGAACACTTCAGTGTGCTGCGAAGGGGCTTCAGACAAGACATACTGCTATTTGACAGGATGCTCAAGAAGCAGAGCCTTGCATGAGCAGAAGCTGACCAAATGGCATTGGTATGTGTGGATCAGGAAGAGGGCCTGTCTGTTCACTGTCAAATACTTTAACAACACACCATATTAATAACTGATTAAGAATAATTGCATATGACCTGCTGTTTTATGACTAAAAAGAACTACAAATTGCTAAGCTGTTAAATTTTATGGTAAAATATGCACTCGCTATATGATCAGGAAAGTACAAATGGTCCGTGAAGCCCCTCACTAATTCCCTCCTCTGTGCAAAAACAGCAACCTTCAAAACAGCTTTGCATGAGTGTGAAAAAGGCACTAGCTTCCTTTAAAAAAATCAGATTCATCCTTCTCCAAGTGTTCAAAGCATAATGCATCACTGAAAACAATGTCTTTTTTTTTTTTTAAATTAGCGCAAATGTCATCCCAGAAGTAAAAGACAACTTTTCATGTAAAGGAAAAAAAATCTGCTTTTTCACAGGGTTTAATGGGATACCTTAGTGTCATGCAAGAAGCTCTCACCTGCAAGGCGTAGGGTCTGTGGTTACTCAAGTATGGGTAAGGTAATATTTTTAAGCAGGTAACTGGAGAAGAACTTACCACTGGCATTGAGAGTTAGGACAATAATCTCAAACTCATCTACAGTGGCTTGCAGAAGTATTCGGCCCCCTTGAACTTTCCCACATTTTGTCACATTACAGCCACAAACAGGAATCAATTTTATTGGAATTCCACGTGAAAGACCAATACAAAGCGGTGCACACGTGAGAAGAGGAACGAAAATCATACATGATTCCAAACATTTTTTACAAATAAATAACTGCAAAGTGGGGTGTGTGTAATTATTCAGCCCCCTTTGGTCTGAGTGCAGTCAGTTGCCCATAGACATTGCCTGACGAGTGCTAATGACTAAATAGAGTGCACGTGTGTAATCTAATGTCAGTACAAACAGCTGCTCTGAACACACCATCCCCACTGTCAAATATGGTGGTGGCAGCATCATGCTCTGGGGGTGCTTCTCTTCAGCAGGGACAGGGAAGCTGGTCAGAGTTGATGGGAAGATGGATGGAGCCAAATACAGGGCAATCTTGGAAGAAAACCTCTTGGAATCTGCAAAAGACTTGAGACTGGGGCGGAGGTTCGCCTTCCAGCAGGACAACGACCCTAAACATAAAGCCAGGGCAACAATGGAATGGTTTAAAACAAAACATATCCATGTTTTCAACGGGCCAGTCAAAGTCCAGATCTAAATCCAATCGAATTTCTGTGGCAAGATCTGAAAACTGCTGTTCACAAACGCTGTCCATCTAATCTGACTGAGCTGGAGCTGTTTTGCAAAGAAGAATGGGCAAGGATTTCAGTCTCTATGTGCAAAGCTGGTAGAGACATACCCTAAAAGACTGGCAGCTGTAATTGCAGCAAAAGGTGGTTCTACAAAGTATCGACTCAGGGAGCTGAATAATTACGCACAATCCAGTTGCCAAGTAAATGAACGCATCTCTTAGGACTTTAAGGTTTCTCCTTAAATTAGAAAAGAAAAATGCAATTCTTTTAATTTAATGAAACATTTTTTCCTAATTCTGGTGTAATCATCAGAAAGCAATGGAAAATTACTCTTCTCCAGTAACTGCATTATGCTTCTCAGGTTCACAACAACAACTTGCGAAAGACTAAAAAACAGCAGATATCGATAACAAAAGTAAGCGCAAAGAATTATAATGACAAACAGACAAGAACGGATGGGCAAGCCCAGTTTTTTATTATCACAATTTCCTTAGGCCAGAAAAGTGTCTGTGTTAGTGTTTACATTTGGGAATACTGAAAGAATAAGAAGAATAGTTTGTGCAAAAATTGGAACTAGTACGAAAATTATTTTCACCTGCTGATGGAAATTTGTCTTGTCTATAGTATTTATTCAGAGAAGTATCACTGACAGCAATACATATTCAGGGAGACAGAAGCAATACCATGTGATCATACTGCATGTACATACAGTGCAGGCCTGCGTGTGACAAATCTCTGCACACAGTGGGGTTAGTTAGGAAGGAAATTAGTTTTTGTCAACAGAGACAGAATAAAAGCAAGGACTTAATTATCACATAAGACACAGCTAATTGACTGGGACACCGTCACCCGTCCAAAACGCATTTTCACTGAACCAAACTCCCCCATCAGCACCAGATGTGACCGTGCAGGACAAGAATGTAGTACATCAAGGAAAACACTATTTGCGATCAATGGGCCTTCACTTCAAGTAATTCATATGGGTGGTATAAACCATGTCTAAATGCAGTGCAGCAGGCACAGATGCTCATTGACTACCAATATGGCCTTTCTTAAACACAATAAAATCCAAACATGGACACTCAATTAGGATCCTTCTTTGTAGATTCAGGTATGTGCAAGAAATGAACCGCGACAGTCCCGAAAGCATGTGTTCCTCTCTTCCTGAGTGCCGCTGGCTTCTCACACAGCACACACATCGTTATCCCCACATACAAAAACAAAACCAACTACACATTGCTACCATTATGCACTGGCAGGGTCAACCCACAGCGCAGAAGAACTGATCGTCCGCTGCATGTTTGGAATTAGCAGTGAATCCTGGGTAGACCGCAGTTGCTATAGAAATGAAAACACGAATACCTGCAACATTCTAGAGTATTACAACTTGTACCATATTTTTTTAATAAGATTTTACTATGATTAGGTGTGATTTTACTCTCCGAGATAAATGCTGAAATCTCAGAATACTTCGGCATCACAAAAGTTGGAAGTTGGAGTAGAAAATATGGGCTGTTAGATGATCAGTCACATCTGCAGTATTACAATCTGGCTTCAAAGAGAAAATCAAGGGGGCAGTGAAATGATAGCAAAATGTATCGTAAACATCTATAATAATAACCAGACTGACACAGTGATTCTGCATGCTTACAAAATGCGATAAAACAACAGACAGGGAGTTGTTTTTCTTCATTATCGGGGTGTGATGAAGACTTTTTAGTGGATACATGTAGGTCGCTTGCTCCAACTATTTTATAATTTTATCATGTCTATTAAATATTTTTATAATTCTAACCAAGAGAGTGCCTCAGGAAATCTCTTGGTTAGACTTGCACTTGTTGAGTTGTTTCGCCGTACTGATGAGCACCTGTTTTATGTCATTTACAGAGCCACGCAGCACTTTCTTTTTATTTATATTTTCTGAAGAACAAATTTTTCATGACTCAGATTAAAGCAGATGTGGAAACTGTAACAATGGAGTTACTTTTTGGCATAACGTGTGGCGTTTGACTGCAGTGAGCGATTATTACTGACATTTCTAGTAAACTTGTGTGTTCTTGGCTTCATTGCCACTCGTCTGATCCTCTTAGAGCGCATTGTTATTGTTTCGTTAGATTTTATTGTAGAAACTGACAGTCAGCAGTTTGGCATACCTTTGTGTTAGCCATATCCACAATGTACTGGTCTCCTTTCACACACTCCATGACACTGAAGCCATCACGGTCCAACACCTTGGCCTGTGCATTGCCCGAAACCACCAACATGACATCACCGGTGATGCTGTACTGCAGGGCCTTGATCTGATGGCTGAGGAGACACAAAAACAGCACAACAAAGACTGCTTCACTAAAACATTGTTATATAAGCTTTTAATTCTTCACTTTTTCAGGCACAAATAAACACCAGATAATTGCAACTATACGACCAAAACATCTCAACATCTGATGTACCTGATTATTTGTATGACTGGCCTACAACAATAAACAAAGACACCCAACTATAACAACAGCAGAATATTTCTAATAAAGTGTTTTTAAAGCATAAAAAAACAAAGCTTTCACAGAGAAAATTATCCACTGATAAAAACTGATGTTTTAAAAATAGGGGCAGGGTGCTGACATTGCGAGGTTAATGTGCAAATGCTTATTAGTCTGGAACCTCTCAGTTCTGCTTGGAGCATTATCAAAGGGCAAACCCTACAAACAGTTAGAGCAAAGCGAAGCGAGAGGTAGCAATCAGCACTGGAAAAATGTAAACATACTACAGTATTCACTAAAAATAACCCACCCCGTTTTAGATAACCGCTTCTGATTGGTCGAGCAAGGGCAAGACCAGGTGGAAATCTGTTTGAATGTGAGATCAGCTGCTTTCTGTCAGAGCAAATGAAACATGAGCCCTCAGATTCATCCAGTTCCCAGGCCGAGGAAGCTTCAACAACTTTCTATATGAAGCCCGGCTTGTTAGTAAACCAAACAGACTCCTAGATCACACTGTAATCAAATTAAATGTAGCGTTAATAAGGGGAAACCTGCTCCAGCTCAGCCCACTGCTTCCCAAAAGCAAAAAAGAATTTGATCTTTGATGATGGCTTTAGTTAAACACGGAGTAAACACACATGCAAACACACAAACAGACACATATCTTAACCATCTGTTCTCAAAAGGCTCATTTTGCATGAAAACAGAGGATGTCGCAGAGTTAGCATGAGGTTTGGTGATGTGTGTGTGTGTGTGTGTTTGTGAAAGTGTATACACTCTGGCACATGGAAATGCAGTCAGTGTAGTGGATGTTTACATGAAATTAATTATTGAACACATGTCAAGGAGGTGTGTTGCTGTTCTCAGTACCACTCGCAAGGCTGCAGAGATCTGAAGGCCTGCAGAGCCTGGTCCATCCCAGCAAAATCCCAGAATCGAACATCATAATCATATCCACCAGACACCAGGCGGGCTCCAGAGGGGTCCAAGCCAAGAGCCGACACCTGAGGAAGCAGTTTGAAAACCAAGAGACAACTTATGAGCCTGTACAACTCAGAAAGCAAGCCGCTGCTGATTACTAGTTATAACACTAGAAATCTTTAACAATACAGTCATGTTGGCTTTGTTAAAAGGCACAGAAATAAATACAACCCAAATATTTTAAGTTTATTCTTCAATAATTTAGAACTAAACTGTTTAAAAACTGAAAAAGTGCTAGATCTGGATACCAGACTAAACAAAAGCAGAAAAGTAACAGCCTCACAGCTGCTCTTTTGGCTAAAATCAGTGAGATAAATGTTAACTGAAAATCCAATGAGAGGCCTCCGAAACCAGATGTTTGTGTGTGTGTGCGTAATATAAGCAAAAGTTGTACTGTTTACAAGCTTGTGATAAAAATAGAATTTTATTCAATGTCAACTGAGAATAGAGTTGTCACCAGCTCTAATTACTGGCTGGGTGTTAGAGGCGAAAGCCTTACCGTTTTAGTGCCATGCTGCAGCGTGATCTCATGAGTGTCTGGAATTTTTTTCACTGGATTCTGGGACAGAAAGTTGACATGAACGTGAGGAAAAGGCAAAACAACACAAGTCTATATTATGTCAATTGATCAAAGTGCAGCAATATGTATGATATTTTTACATTAACAGGTTGTGAGTCTAAGACATTTAACGACAGAAGTCATATTTGTAAATGGTTGGAATCTGACATATTGTGTAGATAGTACTTTCCTGTAAAAAGCAATACACACATTCTAAAAATCCTTCTAATTAAAAATTCAGATATTTTAGGTGTCATTGTCCTTTTGGTAATGTAAAGAAAACAAATGAAAAAAGCACAACTAAGAAAATAGGCAAAAAGTTCACCTTTTATCGTGTACAGTGCAAAACTAACAATGTTAATCTTTTCTCCTGCTGCCATCTTGTGGTTGGATTTTTTTTTAAAACCTCAAACACAGAACACAATGTTGGTTTTATATGTCGAGATTGTGATCTGTCACAGTAGGAAAATCACACTATAAATTGGCTCATAGTGAAAAGAGCTTTGAGTGGTCAGTATCAATGTAAAAGCACTGTGGAAAAAGCCAGTCCATTCCATTCTTCAGTATCTGGGTCCTGTAACTGTGCATGCTATTTCACCGTTCAAATAGCTATTCATTGTTTATTTTTATTTACTTTTATTACCCTGCAATGATAATAAAATAGTTCTTTTAGCGACACAGAGACGAGGTTAAGGGAATGTAACCAACGCGGAAATCCAAAAATTCAGCAGCTCATAGCCTAGTGGCAATTGTGCCACGTATAAGGAGAGAGCTGATTGGCTGAAAAGTTATCTTGTACAGGAAGAGAAACAAGAGCAGAGTTCACACCAAAGAGGAAGAGCAGCTTAAAAAAAATCAACATCTTCATAGTTTTTAACTCTTGGATAATTCATGGCAAGCTAAATAATGCAGAGCGCATGCACAAAGAAGGGTAACTCACAGTACACAGCTACAACATGGATCTGCAAAGCGCTGTATAACACTTATAGACTACTAACATACCACCATGGCCCAACATTTACTGAGAAAATCTTGTTTTCTTAATGAGCAAGAAGAAAGTCAACACTTTAGACAGACTAAGTGTAATCAGATATATGTAGTATGCTGTAATTCACAGCCTACTAAGAGATTGTATAATTCAGACATACATCATCGTCGTCATCTTGTGCCTCTCCTTCTTCATCATCGTCATCATCACTGTGAGCCGTGCTGCCTGTGTAACCTGGTGGAAGAGGTGGCCCTACGTGCTCATCATCATCATCATCGCCCTGCTGAGCTGCATGCTGAGGAGGCACCGGTGGCCCGATAAGCTCTGAGTCTGAATCAGAATCTGAGCCACTGTCACTGCTGCTGTCGCTCTTCTGGACTCTAAAAATGATAAAAAATAAATAAATGAGCTTTGTCAGACAAAGCAAAACATATTGTACACTTAAGTAGACAAATTGGAAGCCAGAACAGATGTAACAGTCAGTTAAGGATAAAACCTCATAAATGCCTCCCTACCTGGAAGAAGCAGCTTTTCCTCTCTGACTCTGGACTGACGGTTTGACTGACTTGGAGCTCTCCCCCTCCTCCTCCATTTCTATCTCCTTCTGCCGCTCCTCTAAGGACGCAACGATTCCAAATGCAATTAAACTCATCATGACTCCTAAGCAGGGTTATCACATTGCCAGTGATGAAACACTTACCTATCACACGCTGACTCCTCTCGATGGCTGTTCGCCGGGTCTGCTCAAAAATGGCATCAAGATCAAATGTGCGGGCTTTCTTACCTGGAAGATAAAAATAAAACTCGATGTATGACTGCAACAACTCAAATTGTCACTTTATCAGAGAATACTTTTTTTACGTTTATATTTTCTGACAAGTGTGCTGGACTACACATACCAAACCCAGAGAATCCCATGACAGATGCAATGTCTCCATCGTCACTCGTCTTGCCTGTTGCTGTAAAAGAGGTCAGTGCCTTGTTTACAGTGTTAGACTCCATAGTGACAATTTCCTTTTCAGATCGCTTCAGAATGCTTAAAAATGAAAAGTAATTCAATTTGGGAGGGTTTCTGTTTTCCTCTGTAGAGCAAAGAACAGCTTCAACATCACTTGTTTCAGTGAGATTAGGCAGACCAGGAAAAATACTGGGGTTACACAGACCTCCCAATTAGTAGACTCCACAACTAACTCCTGAGCCACTGTTCCTGTAGGTGTAATGTCCAGGTAACCCAGTGGTTTTATCCATATAGTGCATCAACCATTATATGGCTATGAAAGACATATATGTTGAGAGAGCATCTCTAACTCTATTGTTTATGCTTTGTTTAATACTCCACACTAGCAGCGTACACACGGATGAACAGAGGTATCCTCCTATGTCTACTCTGAATGTTCCAGTAATGTACAGTATTTCAATCAATAACCCCATCCTTTCCCTTTTCATTTATCATGATGTAAGACATGTAAACAATGTCAGTTCGTATGCCAATATCCCTTAAAATCTGTCCCATTATTAAAGACTGGTTAAGGTACAATTATTTTATGTAAATTGGGACATAACTCTACATAAACTACGGACTATGGGGCTGTGAAAGCTAGCAAGCAAATAATCATGTACAAGAAATACTGATACCGACACAACAACCAATTTCCATATTGGCATGGAATTCATTCCGGGATTTATATGTAGGCTTCCGATAAGTGTGTTTAATCCACTTCAAATGCAATACAATATGAAAATACGTATGCTGTCCTCATTCCAGCTTACACAAAAAGATTTACAACTAGCAGTAGCTGTTCGTTTTTCCCCTTTTAAAGGGTAATAAGGATAAGATCAAAAGGGATAAAATGGGGGTAAATAAATGTGTGAACGTTGACAACAACTCGGCGTTTCAAATTATGCTATGGGAAACAGATCTCACATTATAGAAAACATTAGTTAAGCTAACAAATAAGCTAACAAAAAGAGCAACGTTGTCCATTTCTTCACATGTTGTGTTACTAAATTAATTTCACTAAGAACTCAGGACAGAGTTTATTGTAAGTGGTCATTCATGTTTAAAATTAACATAGTGTCCGGCTTACAGATAGACAAAGGCAAAAAGTTCCTACCTTCATCTCCTCTTTTGGAATCCATGTTTTCAAATACGAACGTTACCTTTGACCTCCGGACGTTCTCGTTGTACGTCTGCTGTGCGGCTCGCAGCGCCGCTGCTGGTGTGCTTCGGTATGACCTTGTTTTGATAAACCAATAAGTTGTCCAAGCCAATAACATATAAAGTAATAATATTTATCTCAGAACAAAGCATCGATGAAACAGAGGAGCTCACAATTCTTCTAATGTTCGAATTCATTGCAAACACTGGATTTATTTAGGGTGCATTTTTGTGGATCCATTGTAAAATAAGCTTTAGGAGAAGAAAGTCACCGCTTGTTAAAGGCTCATCTCACATTTGCTTTAAAAAAAATTTAAAAAACCTATGTTGATAATGCCCAACACTTTTGGGAAAATATTCTGTGGACTAATGAGACAAAAGCTGAACTTTTTGAAGATTTAAGTCCTGTTGCATCTGAAATAAAAAAAAAACCCACACCATTCATAAAAAGCTGCTTCAGGGCCTGGACGAAGCTGTAATTAGGAGACATGAAGGAGAATGTCTGGCCATTATTCATAGCCTGAAGCTCATGCTCACTTGGGTTATGCTGGACAGTGATCCGAAACACATAGCAAGTCCACCTCAAACAAAAAATGTCTGGAATCAAATCAGACTGAGATGCTTCAGCTTAAACAGGCCGTTCAAAAACCCTTCAAAATGGTTGAATTACAGAGGATCGCAGACATGAACATAACATTAGAAATGGAAGATGAGCAAAGGAGAGAAGAACTGCCTCAAAATATTTATTATTAAGGAAGTGAAGTATGTACAAAAAAGTACAAATGTAGAAAGTTTTACACATACACAAAAATGACAAGCCTATTACGCTACAAAACTGATTACATCATATGTAATTTATTGTTTTATTATTATTATTTATTTATTATTTTCATCAGTTTAAAACACTTTGGATTTACAGTATATGTAATAGGTACATACAAATACAGCACATTTCATTTTTCCAGCAATATTTTAAGCTATTTAAGTATCTACGTGGACCATTTTTGCTTTCCTGGAGACACTCAGACTTCCTCTCCAGCCGCCATCCTCTCAATAGCTTCCCAGTCTATTTTGCTCAGGTTGCTGCTTCCACTCTCAGAGAGATTATCCAGCCAGTCCATCTCTGATCTGGAAGCATCACCATGCTCATCCAAAAGCCCTGCCAAAGCCTGAGAAAATATTCAATTAAAAATACATTTTAACACAAAACCACATCATCTGTTTTCCCTTTAGTTACAGTGGGGCAAAAAAGTATTTTGTCAGCCACCAATTGTGCACGTTCCCCCACTTAAAATGATGACAGAGGTCAGTAATTTGCACCAGAGGTACACTTCAACTGTGAGAGACAGAATGTGAAAAAAAAATCCATGAATTCACATGGTAGGATTTGTAAAGAATTTATTCGTAAATCAGGGTGGAAAATAAGTATTTGGTCACCTCAAACAAGGAAAATCTCTGGCTCTCACAGACCTGTAACGTCTTCTGTAAGAAGCTTTTCTGTCCCCCACTCGTTACCTGTATGAATGGCACCTGTTTGAACTCATCATCTGTATAAAAGACACCTGTCCACAGCCTCAAACAGTCAGACTCCAAACTTCGCCATGGCCAAGACCAAAGAGCTTTCGAAGGACACCAGGAAAAGTATTGCAGACCTGCACCAGACTGGGAAGAGTGAATCTACAATAGGCAAGCAGCTTGGTGTGAAAAAATCAACTGTGGGAGCAATCATCAGAAAATGGAAGACATACAAGACCACTGATAATCTCCCTCGATCTGGGGCTCCACGCAAGATCTCATCCCGTGGGGTCAAAATGATCATGAGAACGGTGAGCAAAGATCCCAGAACCACACGGGGGGACCTGGTGAATGACCTGCAGAGAGCTGGGACCAAAGTAACAAAGGTCACCATCAGTAACACACTACAACGGCAGGGAATCAAATCCCGCAGTGCCAGACGTGTTCCGCTGCTGAAGCCAGTGCATGTCCAGGCCCGTCTGAAGTTTGCCAGAGAGCACATGGATGATACAGCAGAGGATTGGGAGAAAGTCATGTGGTCAGATGAAACCAAAGTAGAACTTTTTGGTACAAACTCAACTCGTCGTGTTTGGAGGAAGAAGAATACTGAGTTGCATCCCAAGAACACCATACCTACTGTGAAGCATGGGGGTGGAAACATCATGCTATGGGGCTGTTTTTCTGCCAAGGGGACAGGACGACTGATCCGTGTTAAGGACTGAATGAATGGGGCCATGTATCGTGAGATTTTGAGCCAAAACCTCCTTCCATCAGTGAGAACTTTGAAGATGAAACGAGGCTGGGTCTTCCAACATGACAATGATCCAAAACACACCGCCCGGGCAACAAAGGAGTGGCTCCGTAAGAAGCATTTGAAAGTCCTGGAGTGGCCTAGCCAGTCTCCAGACCTCAACCCCATAGAAAATCTGTGGCGGGAGTTGAAAGTCCGTGTTGATCGGCGACAGCCCCAAAACATCACTGCTCTCGAGAAGATCTGCATGGAGGAATGGGCCAAAATACCAGCTACTGTGTGTGCAAACCTGGTAAAGACCTATAGTAAACGTTTGACCTCTGTTATTGCCAACAAAGGTTATGTTACAAAGTATTGAGTTGTATTTTTGTTATTGACCAAATACTTATTTTCCACCCTGATTTACGAATAAATTCTTTACAAATCCTACCATGTGGATTCATGGATTATTCACATTCTGTCTCTCACAGTTGAAGTGTACCTCTGGTGCAAATTACTGACCTCTGTCATCATTTTAGGTGGGGGAACTTGCACAATCGGTGGCTGACTAAATACTTTTTTGCCCCACTATACACAGAAACATTAAAATTGCTGTTTGGTTTGCTTAAACTAATTAGCAATTACAGTTTTTAATTCAAGCACTGAGTGATCATAAGAGTGACTCAGAGTTGATTTTCCATCTACAGCATCTGGAAAATAGGTGGCAAAAAGTGAGGTTCTTACTATGTTAGACTGCAACTCCTCCTGCAGCCTATCAAACCCTGATTGCTCCATCTCTTCTCGCTCTTTCGGCCTTGTCTGCTCCCTCAGGATCCCTGTTCTTACTGCAGTTCCTTCTGAAGAACTTCTGTTCACTTCCGTCTTTCTCTGGTACCAATCATGCTGTTCCTTACTGTGGCTCGCTGCAGGAAGTTTACTTGGGCTCTTGAGCATACCACGTTTAGTCACTTGAGACAAGCGGTCCTTTGGCAAAAAGGTCGCTGAAACAAATAAATAAACAAATAAATAAAAATTAATCGCACAACCTAAACATTTTTCTTTTTTACAGTTTAAGCATCCATTTACTTTAATACCAATATATTTCATTACAGTACCTGGTCGGTGTAGTCCCAGTCTCCTGTGGTAATCGTCAGAAGGCCGTACCTGCACTTCAGCAAACTGTTGGCGAAGGCTGGCTGGGGTTTGTCCTGACTGGGGTTTCAGACTTCTTTTATTATTGATATCACTGTAAACTCTAGGACAGAGAAATCAACTCCATTACTGTATAAAGCCTCAATTCTTTTTTTGTTTATTTTTTAATACACCGTCTCTGTAGGTACACGTCTTGGATACTCTGCAAAAGTTCTGAATTCATTCTGTAACTAGAAAAAAGGCCACAAAAGGTAACTGTGCGCTCATCTCTTAATAAATGTCAAAACAACTAGAATAGCAGCTCTCACCGATAATTACACCAACTATTATTTCTGGATGAGGATGACAAATGCATTTCAGCTTTAATGCTGGTGACTGCTTATAGCTGAAACACAAGAGTTTGTTTTCAACAAAGTGTCTCTGAATATACGACAGAGGTAGTCGACAGCCCTGACCTCAACATCCTGGCACAAAGACACAGAAGCAAATGAGAGAACAACCTTGGTGCACTTCTATAGATGAACTATTAATGCACTCGTATGATGATAAATTCATGGCATCATAACAGAAGCAGCCTTATTCTACTTGGGCCTTGGACCTTCAGAAAATAAAGTCCATGGGTTCACATAGTTTTCCTCGTCACTGTATATAATCTTTAAAAAAAAGTTTACAAGGAATGTGTTCAACATTCTTATTATTCTTTAATGAGTCTGGTTCCCGGTCGAATTACTGTCACAGACGATACCTGTGAGTGCTGCCTGAGGGAGGAGCAAAGGAAGAGTGTGTGGCGGAGGCCACCTGAGGTCCTTCAGGCCTTGACGAGCTTAATGTGGATGCAGGAGAGGCAAGAAAGTCACTGACCAAAGAAAAAGCTTCATGGGTCCTCTTGTTGTACTGCTCAAGAAGCAGGGCCCTAATAAATCAAGAGAAATAGTTTTGCACAGGCAGACGCATTTCTTTAAGACAACGATTAAGTAAATAAAATACATACTTTTCTTTCTTCTCTCTGCTTCTCGAACTGGTCGTTCTATTTTTGGTTGCTGAATACTGAAGAGAACAAAAAAGTAACAAAGTGAATGGGATATTTCAAATACACAGCATGTGATAGAAACCCTAATGAAAAGGCGACTGAATCTCACCACTGCTGCTGAAGAAGAGAAAGGTTTGTGCTCCCTCTCTCTCAGGGTCTCTCTGTGTTTTTGATAAGCAGCCAGTCTTTCCCTCTGTCTTCTTCTCATCCACATCCTCAGCTCTCTTCTCTCATCCTCTGCATGATTCTGCGACATGGAGCTACTCTGCAGTTGGTCCTGCCTGCTGTGGGACATATTTAACAGCTCAGAGAAAAATCACACTTGTTTAAGTCACCATTTGAGCAGCACTCATTTTTAGTAGTCACTATACCTGCTACGGTGTGGAGTCTGTGAGGTGGACAAATCCAAGTCAGTCTGAGATAAATAGCCTTCTCTTATCAACTCGTCTAAGATTTCTGCTGTATCGGATAGCTCAGTCTGACCCAGATTCTCATCTGCTGATCTAGACATTGACAGGTAGAGGGCAGAATATTTTAATATTCAAGAGAAATGGGAAAAAAGGCGAGCAAATCAACAGCAGAAATGATAAGTTATAAGATCAGTATACCAACTTCAACTTACACGTGAGATATCCTGAATGTTTCATTTAACTGAGCTTCCATTCCTGTAGATAAAACATACAAGAATTATGACTTAAATAACCACGTATGCTAGTACAGTATGTCCTCCATCTATAAAGACAGATTCACAATCAGGTCAAATGGTACAGTAGTCCTCTATTAGAGAAAAATAAACATTATTATACCCAAGTTCAGCTCATTTTGGTGAGACAGAAACATAGAAACAAACAACAAGAGTGACAGCTAGTAAGTGTTATTATAAATCAGCCTGCTGTTAAATATATTTGTTGTCATTAGTGATGTTTTTTTAAATTAATTGCGCGATTACTTGGTGGGCTGTTTAGGTGGGACAGACCAGCTCTGTGACAGTGCGGAGAAGTGGAATAATGAAAAGAAGTTGTTCTTTCAGGACTGGAATCAAACACAAACTCCTCTTCTTGATTTTCATCATCTTCTTGGGATTCACTCAGTTCAGGTAAAATGTCCACATCAGGTGCCCATGCTGTTAGACAATATATAACTGATATCAGCATTTGAACAAAAACAGTGACGCACAATGTAATATCTTATATTTGAAATATATTACAAAAATAACGCTTTCATTATATACTGTAACAAATTTTTTGAGATGAACTAAAAATGCAGATGATTTCACTACAGATGAATACATTTTAGGAAGCACCTTTCTTAGGGACATTGAGTCTGACAGTTTTCTTTACTGCTGTGGTCGTCCTCACATAAGGGACCTTCTCTGGCTTGAGCTTTTCAATAGTGTTAACCAGCTACATGAAGACACAACAGAATAACCAAGAAATTACCTATAACATAAGCATGTCAGCTGTAGAATTCAATTTGTAAACTTTGGTGACATTAAAAATACAAGTAGTATAAGTACAAAACATTTTCTACCATCCCGGAGTTTGAGAAGTCCTTCTCCAAATGATCTGCAATGTTCTGTAGAGCAGCCAACTTGGAATCCAGCTCTGAGAGGCAAGAGGAGAACCTGACTATAGGAGTTGAAGAGGAGACACTGGGTGGTTCAGAGCTCTGGGTCTTTATAGCCTGAAGGATCTCAGAGTCAGACAAATCAACCGTCTCACTGTTTAGTGGAGTGTTTCTCTCGGAAACCCTGCTGGGTTCAATGTGGCTGACTGAAGGGGACTCCTCGGGAATATCTAAAGTATACAAAGATATTTGGAAGAATAGCAGTGGTGTGCTTTAACAGCGGCACAACAATTTTCAGTAGACGGAACTCTATAAAACTTATAAAGACCTGGTTGAGTCGTGGGTTTCAGGAGATTCTCTGGAATTGTGAATGACAGTTGCGGAACGGCACCGACATCATCACCCCTGATAACAGAGGTTGCAAGAACATGAAGCTGAGCAGATGTAGGTGAAGAAGGGTGGATGAATGGAAGATCCTGACGGTGCCTCCTTTCCTCTATATCTAAGACACTTATGAACTGGCGGCTGCCCACATCCTGAAAAAACAAACAAACAAACAAACAAACAAACAAAAAAGATACTTTAAGCAACCTCCTGATGAAATATAATAAAAGGGGTAAAAGTGTGCATAAATCATATGAACTTAATACATTATAGTTACTGCATGAAAAGACCTGCATACTTTTATTTACAGGCGTTAAAAGAGCATCTATGCTAAATATATTCAGTGCATCCAGGTAATAACAGACCCTTTTTTCACAGCAGCTATTTTGACATAAAACAGCAGGTTAAACAATATACTGTTGTATTCAAATATAGCTGTACAATCCAAAAGCACAATTTACTGTAGCTAAAAATTGTAATGCTCCTTTATTTGGTGAATCCAGCATGTATTCCAAGGATCTTACCATAACTTTCTCTTCCTCCTGTCTTGGCTCCTTGGTGTTCTGAATAGTGACTTCACTGCACACCCGGAAATCCCCAGAATTTTGTGCTAGGTGGAGAACACAAACATACACACCCACAGATATTCTCAGTTGTATCATATAATAAATAAATAATCAGACTGTTATCACTGACCCTGCAAATTCAAAGAGACTTACATTTAGGGCTGCCAGCCTGGACAGATACAGCTTTATCCACAAGCTTGGGAGTATAACCTGAAAGAAGAAGAATAAATGCTAAGATTTTTAGCTATAATTCAAGTTTTTCTTTAACTGTTTATGCTAATTATTTCTTATGAATAAAAACAGTCAGGCTGTTAAAGAAATTTCATTCAACTACAAATAAATGTAAGCTGTGTAGTAACTTTACAACCATGTAAAACCATTGCATCAACACTTTAACTTTAACTCACCTGGATCTGTGTTGGTGGAAGCATCATGGCACTCTGGGGGCCGTTTACATGCGGAAGCAAAGGCATGGAGCTCAGCTGAAGTGGACATAACTCTGTCCAATAATCTCTGACCAGTCAGTGAAGAGTCAAAAGATTCTAGGAGTTAACAAGAAGCAGATCAATAGAACTGCAAATGGGACATAATATATGATATTGTCTCATCAAGAATGTCCTTATCTCCTTGTTCTTATTTCTGAGGAAAGTTTTAAAGAGTCTGAATAATTATTGCTAGTTCAGAAGAGATTTTTAAAACAGTATTACTTCTCCGCGATTTCAAAAAGAAAGCATACATTTTGTGGCTCCTGGCATCTACAGTGGTGCTTTAATACTCTGAAACTGGAAACTCAACAGTGCCAAAACCTACTAACATACAGTAAGCATGCAATGTCGCTGTAAATATCAAGTGTTGTGCATTTAAGACCAACCAGGAAGAATGGGAATATCCTGTTCGGGGATAATCTCTTTGGCAGCTGCAGGCTCTTCACTCACAGGAAGTTCAGCTGGCTAAATATATAAACATACGTAAAAACATAATAATGAAGCAAACATATGATGAGTGTGTTGTAACTTAATATCTATTAAGCACAAAAAACTTTTTGGAATTAATATCATTCTACCTCATGTGTAGGAATGATGGAGTCATTTGGTCTGAATGTGACCTCAGTTTTTCTCGCCTTCCCCTCTCTCCTCTTCAGCCTAGAAATGACACAAAATGATATATAAGTAAAATAGTGACCAAAAAGGGGGGAAACCACTTAATATAGAACTATTATGTGTTTGCCTGTTGTTGGAGATAGAGGTGGAAGAAGTGGGGTCTCTTCTAGTTGTTTCAGCAGATGGGTCTACTCTAAGTAACTGCAGCCGAGCCTCTTCAGCATTCGGGTTTCTCTTCACTAAGTTAGTCAAATCCTCCATGGAAAAGAGACGAGTTACATGGGTTGAAGCAGTGGCCAAGGGTAACTCCTGTGGGACAGGCATCCATCAATAAGCTATAACACAAGATACAGCGGTACCAAATGTGAAAATCAGGACGTTTGGGAAGCACTGCTTACCATTTTTGGTTCAGATTTAATATGCAGAAGCTTGATCGCAGGTGCTTCTCTAATTGGAGCTGCAATCAAAGGAGGATGTCTGGGAGAAGAAGGCAATCTGGGGAAGGTGATGTTGCTTTGAGAAACAGACTGTACGTGCAGAAGGCGAAGGCCCTGCAGTGCTGCAGGTGTGTGAGCTGGAAAAGCGGGAAGGAGTAGGGAGAACTCTTGACCTCTGGACTGCTCCGATGGCCAAATCTGATTTTGAGAGTTTCTGGGAGTAGGATTGTGTGGAGGATTAAAATTCAGCTGTCTTTTTGGAACTGAAGACCTGTCTGCTTTCTTTAAGGTGGTTTGGTCACTGTGCTTAAACTTTTTCTGATCAAATTTTGAGGTTGCAGGATTTAAAGTGTGCAATGCTTGGGGGTTTTGGGCCGGATAACACTGCGGGGCATTCTGCTGGGGTAACTTCAGGCCCAAAACCTGTGGAACAGAGTCATTTTGGCTGCTACCATTACAAGGCTGCAACACAGGAGTGCTGTGAACAGTGTCTGTAGTGGTGAGAAGGCCCTCGGAGGAGGGGATTAACTTCCTGCTCTCAAACAGCTGAACGTCTGCCGAGTTCGCCTGGACGGACAGTGGCTGCATTTCCTGAAGAAACAAGGACTTATTTCAAACTTGGTTTCACTGTGTTGCAAGCATTATTCACACAGAAAAGCAATCTGTTAACATTTTTCTAAAATTAAGGAATTTCTCTGTTTTTAGGATAAATAAATATATTGGTTTATCTTATCTTATCTTACCTGAAAATTTACACTGGTTGTACTAGACAGCAGAGCTTTTATCTGTGTCTGTTGATTGGCAGGCTGGTCTGGAGGTCGGCATGTATGGGTGTGAATGAACTGGGTATTCTTGGATCCTGAATATGTCTGTACTGGATGTGGCACAGAGACGGTAGCTTGATTGGGTAAGGTGCTTGGCTCAGGAACGAACCTGGTAGTGGAAGATGATGGCACATTAGGGTCTGAGGAGTTCATGTCTGGGTGGGTCAAAGAAGCACTCTGCTGGGCAAGTTGTAGGTTGGCAAATGTAACTCCCAAAACCTCTCTCAGACTCATGTAGTTGATATGCTGCAATGAAAGGACAAATACGCTCAGTTCAGCGTTAATCTTTTGAATCCAATCCTTCCCTTTTGGTTGGTCCCATTTTTACCTGAACCAGCCTGAATAAGTCTTCACCCAGACGTTCTCTCATTGGTGGAATGTGGGTGGTTGATGGCTGATTGGAGTTTGGAGAATATGCAGTGGCTCCACTAGCTGTGGAGCTTTGTGGATGAAAGTTTGAAGGAGCTACAGATGGTTTGGGGGGTGGCATGCCAGCTGAATCAGAAGTTTCTGCCTGGACTGTAGCCTCAGACTGTATAATGGAAGGTGCAAGAGGCTCTGGGTGTGGAGGTTCTTGTACGCTTCCAGCATGACTGTACAGGAAATTTCACCAATAATTTTGCATGCTTAGATTTGCAGAGATTTTTTTTAAATTTTAGAAATGTCTGAGAAACATGCATTACTGAACAAATTAAATGTTCTCCTCTGAGAAAACAGTGTCACCATTATATATAGGTATAATAACTTACACAGAGGTGGAACTGGATATATTGTCAGTTTTTTCTGAGCAGTCTAGGTCTGCAAGCTTTAAACTCTGAAAACGAAAAAAACAACAATCATATTGTCTTTGACAGTCACGATGATAGAGATGAATACTGGGAATGTTAACAGAGGATACTAACCATGTTGGGTGTGCAGCTTTTTCCACTGGAACCAGAAGACAACACATCCAAGCCCTCACTGTCACTGTGTTTGCCTAGAAATATAATATAAATCCATTAGTATTTTCTCTTTAAAAAACAAACTAACAAAAAACTGTGTTATGGCAGCCTTCATGTTGCAGTATAACATAGCGTCATACAGTCTTTTTCAGGTGTAACATCTAAGTCATCGAGAGATGGCTGTATTGGACTTGACGGTCTGTGTGGCGCATCAAAAGTCAGCTGATTCTGGACAGCAGGGAGAGGACTCTGGTGACTCTTCAGCTCTTCTGGTTCATCTATATGAGAACCACTGCAAGGAAGAAAATAAGAACGACTCATTGGAGAGGCAGCTAAATGGCACAGAGGACCAACAGAACAGCAACATGTAGGAAAAAGTAGGACAGGAGGCACTAACTAAACACAACCCAGTTTTATAAACTGATCAAGACTTATCTATAAAAGAGTAGATTTCATTTGGCCACCTATAATCCAAAATAAACTGACTGGCAAGTACAGACTGGCTCGATAAAGACATCCTCTGAATGTGTGTCAGTCCAGTTTGTTTAATATAGAAATTTATGACTGTAAATAAAATATTGGGCACTCACATGGATAGTTCTCCTTGCTGTAGATTGTGATCTAGACCAGTGACAGGAGTGTTAGCTGATCCGGGGTAGCCTGTGTCAACACTGCTCTCTCTTTCTAGCTTACTTTCCACCTCAGACTGCAGCACAGGGGCTACTGTCCATTCCATTTCTGGGACTCGGAAGTGGGCGCTAAAGCAGTCCATCCCAAGTTGAGCGGTGTACCTGCGCTCCAGCAAACTGAGGGAAGTAAGGATGGCAGGTGCTGAGGCTTTGACACGAATCACTACACCTTCATCTGCTGTTCGTCCAACTTTTCCTGCTTTATCTTTCTTTACTCTACCATGATGCCCCATTAGCGCCCTTTTGTCAGCCCAGCGAACCATCCACTCCAGCAGCCTGCCCAGTTCTGGAAACTTAGATTCCAATTGAGTATCCAAGCCCTGCTGCAATTCAGTTACAGCTTCCACAGACACTGAAGGACTAAATATGTTATCTGATGGCTGTGCAGTGGTTGAAGCATTTTGAATAGGCCTACTTTCACTACCAGACAGCCCTCCCATCACTCTTTGGTCTAAAGGCACACTGCTTTGCTGTCGGAGGCCAAACAAACCTTTTTGCCGCCCTATTCTCAGTCCAGGATGAGAACTGGCAGAAGGGTTAGACCTGGTTATGGGGGTTTCATTCCAGACAGAGGAAGTTTGCAGTTCAGGTGTTGTGCCATGTTTTACAGGTCTGTAGCAATAACCAGCTCTGAATACAGGTGGATCATGGCCTGGGTGTTTTCTTGCTGGATTGAGCCCATCTCTTTGACGACGATGTATGGTGGTGAGCACGTCAAAGGTGAGAGAATGCAACTCCTTCTTCCTCAGCTCAGAGCAGTAGCCCTTAAACAAAGGTAGTTCACTGCTCGAGTCCCCACCATCGGTACTATCCTTCTCTAGCACGTAGCTGAGGAAGAGCTCCAGGAAACTCAAGTACTCCTCATCCTCCAGCTCAAACTCCCAGGTCCCAACCACTGGTGGGGAGGGCTCCCTTATTTTCTTGGCACTGCCTTGGTTACTCTCCTCTTGAATTACGCTTTCAATCTTAACAGCAGTCTTCTTTTCATTTTCTCTTTCTTTCTCCTTTCTTTTGACTCTGAAACAATCACATAACGCAAAATAAGATACAAATAAGACACACAACACCACAGAATAATGGCAGTGGTAGTATTTCACACTGCCTACCCGGTCATAGCTCTAGAATACTGTTCAGGAGAGACTGCCCCAGATGTATCATCTGTTGTGTCTCCATCAATTCGCATTGATGGGAAACCACAGTCAGTTATGGTGCTGGTACTCAGACTTGTACCCAATGACAGCTGCCCTAACATGGCCATCCCATGTTCCTGATCATCCTCCTCTTCATCCTCTTTCTCCCACAGATTGAGCACAGGGGGAGCCAAGTGCCTTTCTAGTCGTGCCAGATGTTTCCTCCTTTGCCTGTGTTTGTCTTGAATGAGAATCACCATGAGCTCGTTGCCTTCTTCTTTTTTCCCATCTAGGAATCAGATATTACACAGAGAATCAGCATCCAGTTATCACGTGTTTTCAACAGAAATCAAAGCTCAAACACTACTATTATGACTTGTTTTAAAGACCATAATAAATTACTATATAGGCATCACATCTGGCCTTTTAAAATATAAGATGAAGGCTTTCACTGCCTTCTATGCATTTAAAATGCTAAAAGAAGGATTAAAGCCAAAAGCTATTAATTTCTTTAAGTGTTGCACAGCACTTCAAAGCAACTTGCAAACAAAAAGTGGGGTCTGTACCAAGCACATTGCACTGCCTCAGCCTCTCCAACAGCGAGTTATACTTTTCTCTCAAAGGGACTCTGACAGACTCTTTCTCCTCTGGGAAGGCTTTTACAAGTGTGTCTGCAACCTAAGAAAAAAGAAGACAAACCAAAGAATGAAAAATGTAGTCACTAGAGTGTCTTTCATCATAAGATACCATGTATAATTAGACAAGGGATTGTCACCAGAGACACAGGAGGTAGTTCAGACATGAGGCTGAGCAGTATGTCTTGAAGAATTTCATCAGCACTAAGGAAGCGTGAGAAAGGCAGAAGTCGACAGGCCCAAAGGAGAGCATCAACACAGGCAGAATTCACTTCAGAATCTCCAGAAAACTGAGGAGCATAAATATACCAGAGCATTTAGAAGGCATCAGTGGCTAAAGAATAGAGAATAAATTGCACATTCACACTCAAAAAAAGTGTACCTTTTCATCTGTAACATGCTCTCTGGCAGCCTGATACCTCCTGCAACATATTGAGAGCTGGTCTCTGACATGAAGCATCCAGCATAGAGCACACAGCTCCCTGAAAACAACTTCATAGCAGAAATATGGTTAATACAAGTAACCTGAAACTAGATCATCACCAATTATATCCACAATTTACAGTAAGCAGCATCTTACTAATAGTCTGAATGATGTCAGAGTCCAGGTGACCATCATTATTCGGCCCCCTTCTGAAAAAACCACTACGAGTGATGAACTTCATCAATCCATCCGGGAAAGCCTTTTCCTCCTCAGCAGCGGATCGATGAGAATACTTCTTCTTGATCTGATTAAAGACAGAAAAATGTTTACCACCACCTATTCCACAGGACATGATCGACCACATTATTTTGTCCATATGCATAGCGGACCAATGAAGATCTATTAAAAAAAGAAAAGGGTAGGCAGTGAGACAAAAAGCATTTTCATGTGTCTTTTAGAACACACTCGTAATACAAAATTGTAAACAAGAAATTTAGTTGTTGTTTTTTTAATTAATCTAAATCATTCATTCAAACTAGAATATCCCACTTCTTTTTTAAGCCCTTCCTTAAGCGAAGAAATACCTTGTGTAGCAGGTGTCTGGCACGGCGCAGAGAGCTGATGTACCACTGAGCAGCAGAACGGCAACACCGGCCAGATCTTAGGAGCAACACTAATCTTTGAAGATCCATAGAGACTTTGTGTCGACATGTGATTTCTGCAAACTGCCCCTCTGTCCCTATTTGATCCTAATCATGAGACACACGCACAACATTTAGCAGACAATTATCCTGTGAATGTACCATATGTAAACACTGATCTTCTATTAATGCACCTGTGTGTTGGGAGAAGGCTGTGGACAGTACAGAGGTGGGGAGGGAAGATACAGTCCACTGGGCACCAAGGTAGGTAGGGAAGAACACAGGTCTTTGGCTTTGTCCAGCAAGGTAGACAAGGGTGAAGATAAAACATTCAGTCCTGCAATGACTGAAGCTTTCAGAATCTCCTGTATGGAGATCTGTAACAAGTCCCAGTCTTCTCCTTCCAAAGGATCTTAAAAAACAACCACGCAAAGACAAAACAATAGCACAGACAGCAAGGTTAAAAGGTTTCATGTGCACTGGGATCACCTCATAGAAGTCAGGTCTCACTAACCTGATAAGCTCTTGTCAGCATCTTTATCAATGCAATCTTGGGAGGCAGTCTTGTTGCCCAGAAAAGACTCCAACTCCGCCTGAAAAATGCTTTCTGGTTCTAAAACTGCTGGCAGGTGGAGCTCTCTCCTCCTGAGCCTGTCATAAAACATGTCACAGGGGAAAAAAAAATTCACAAATATTGAAGTCCATCCATCCACCCTCTTCTGTTTATGCAGTTTAATATACGATATTCTAAAAACATCAGCCTGTTTGTTATACGTTTTCAAACTGACCGAGTGAAGTCAAAATGGTTGGTGCAGTAACTGGTGTACGCCAGGCTCAGAGACACTGCTGTTTTCCAGTCCCCCAGATGATAAGCTAACCAAACAGACTCAGGAAGTAGACCCCCTATCAGGAGCAGGTCCTGAGCATAGTCCACTGTCCATACTTCCGAAAGATGCTGCTGTCGAACTGCACGAGCCACCTCCTCTTGGCACAACGACACCACACGCTCAACACTAGGGGCTGAGGAAAGACATATTACATGATACAACAATACATGCTATGAATAAATCCTAATAAATTTTTAACTGATGAGTAAGTTGTCAACACACCATGAGGTAGATGTAGTGGAGGCAGAACTACGACATTGTGAGCGGGCAGGACGGAGAGCGGCTGGTTGGTGAAGTAAGAGGCCATGAATCTCCCCAGTGTCTGAACCACCGCAAAGGCAGCGTCATTGTGAAGGTCCATCGGGAGCCATGGGCAAGGAAGAGAATCTACTGAAGGGTGTAAAGGCAGAGATAATAAATAACATCTTCTATTTACAGTGATTTGGTTACTTGATTTCTGCATATAACCAGTAAATTAGAATTATGGTTTGTCTAAACTATATGTCAGATAGTCAGATGAAGTCAGTTTTCCCACTATTATCTGACATTAATACTCCCCTCAGAATTGTATGAAAATAAAGTTTTCATGACACTTCATGTGTACAGTAACACTATCAATGTCTTTATAGAGAAACAGTCTGAAAATGTGTTCAATTTTCCTGTCTTGCCACCCTTCTACTTCTCCAGCTGGCAGCTGGTTTTCATATAGAACTCATATAAACACATTTGATTTCCACTGTGGTCAAATTGTGCTTTTTAAAGTTATTCTGAGAGACTGTAACCTACTGCCTATCTATGAGACATAAAAGCAGACAGTAAACTCTGCTTTAAAGCAGCTTTTAAAGCCTGGTCTTGTAGACAGAGAGATGTATGTGAATGTCGAATCAAAGTATTTCATGCTAATGACTCTTTTTATGTGCACCCTGCATGCTTTAAAGCGTGAGGTAATATAAAATGATGTACTGCATGCAGCAGAATATGGTCACAGAACAATCTGCAGTAACTGTGTGATAGATCACATCAAGAACAAAAAAGTACACTACTGCCCTAAAACTTTGTTAAATGTAATAAGACCTGCTATCACATATAGTTCCTGCCTTGTTTTTCCTCAATTTCCTTTGGTCTGTTTATCAAATAATGTCTCTTCTGGGTCATCTGTTGTTTAAAACCATCTGTTGTAATTGCTTGCATCTAATGTAGTGAACTGATCTTTTGCCTCCAAATATCACATTTCCATTGTTAAATAATGAACACTATCCCTGTTAAAAACAAACAAGCCTAACTGCAAAGGATTTATTAGAAAGTTTCCAACAATGGCTTTAATTACTTAACATCTTGATTCTCGAAACTTACTCAAAGATGAGGTTTTGGAGGTCACGCTGTCCTTCTCCTGTCGAGCCCTGTACAGTATCAGCTGAGACATGTGGTCCCCCAGCTGCTGGGCTTCTTTTAGTTGGTACTGTGATAGCAGACTATACAGGAGAGCCAGACAAAGCCGTGTCTGCTGAAAGACACTACGATCACGACCTAACAAGAGAGGCATATAATGACTATTTTAAACTGACTGTGACTATGCAGTCTGGTGCCCTAATGTAAAACCTGAAATATACTTGTTCTTACTTTTGTCACTCTCTTGACAAATCTGTAACCGCCACACATCGGCACTTTCCGGGTATAAGCCACACAGGAAAAGATGTTCACCTAGTGCAACAAAGGACAAACTTTTAGTTAAACAACACCCACACAAGATGCACTATTTCTGTGTGCTTATTTTGTCTTTTAATACATAAAGCGTAGCTGTTATATTTGGTAATATTTGGTAAAAAAAAAAAAAAAAAAAAAAAAAACTTTTGGGTTTTTCACTTTCTGTATCTGGAGTTACGTTTGAAAAAATACTGTAGTTATCCATCCTGCTCCATACCTGGATAACTCAGCAGTGCGGGGCCCTCTTCTAGTCTTTCTCCAATACCCTGCAGTGCTGTCTGAATCTGGGACATGATGACAGACAAATGCTGATCTTCCTCGTCCCAGCCATCATAGCCTTTAAATCTTTTTAGTTCTTCTTTATACTGCTGGGTGACCCTGTACACCAGCTGCCACACTCCCAACAATCTGCCCCAAACAAAAAACAACAAAATCAAATTCTGTAAGACTTTGATAAAGCCTTATATTCAGTGGACGACATGAAATTTAGTGGCTAAAGCTAAGCTTTGCTTATAACTACTTATGTAGAGAAAAAGTCTGTTCCAACCTGCTGGACGGTCGCTGAGGAGCAGGTTGAGCTTGAGGTACAAATATTGATTTCTCCTCTTTCTCATCCTGTAACTGAGGCACATGATATATATCTGAAGAGGAGAGCTGTGGTGGATGTGAAGCAGATTGCTTCTCAATAGAGGGCCAGTCAGATTCTTGCTGCAAGCAGTAAGTGTGGTCAAGAGAATCAGAGATAAGCTGCAATATAAGCATGACTCTGGATAGACTTTCAGATGATACCAGGCATTGGCTCATGTGTTTGGAGTCAGGATGAGGGTTTAGAATAAGGCATATTATCTGTTTCGTAAACTCCACCATCAGCCCTAAGCAGTTGGGCCCATTTGAGTGAACAGTATCCCAGGAAAGGAAAGAAATAAGGGTCTTGATGAGCTGTGAGAGCCAAGTAAATGGCGAGGTATTCATTCTTCCTGTATGGATGACAGAGTTGGGTACCAAATGGAGTAAAGCAGAAAATCGAACCAAAAAGTGCAGAGTGTGCCTCAGCAGAGGAGCTCTGTGTTCCACTGCATTTCCAAGAGAGATGCCAAAGGCCCACGCAGTCAACAATCTACTCTGGATCTTCCCAAGTTTACGGTGAAGAAGAGTCTCCCTCTCCAGTTCAACAGAATCAGTTTCATAATCTTGGCCAGTAACAAATGAGGTGTCAGCGTGTGTCTCTAGGGCATGGATCGTGTCAAACATTGATGCAAACTCCAAACGACCACCATCCTCCACATGAGAACCGGCAGGAAGTCCATCTAGATCAGAGTCATCTTCAAAGACGGCCTAGGAAGCCACACACACAAACAGCAGATTAAAACAGTCAGGACACATTATAAATCAGTGTTACCCAGACTAAAACAAGACATTTCTCTCTAATAATATGTGACTGACTTGTATGTTTTCAAGAAGCTCCTTTGTGCCACCCAGTGTCTGCTGGTCCAGCAGAAATTGAGGCAAAGTGGATCCATTTGTGGCTGCTGAAATGAAAGAGCCTGTGGTCTTGGGTCGACATGTACTAGTGGGACTAAATACATCCAGGCTGAGGTCCAGATTCAAGCAGGATACCGAGTCCAACCATGCCTTTACATGACTCTAGAAATAACAAATATACGTAAATTGTAATGCTTAGAGTACTAATAATTTTCTAAAAGTCCTGGGCTAATTACCTGTGATTCATCCAGCATTCGGCTGGTCTTCTCAAGATCTTTTCTTGTGTCCTTCAGAAGTGTTTTTAGTAACAGGGCAGGAGAAGGCCTGTCTAACACCCTCATCACTGTGGCCATGTAACCATCAGACACAATGAGATACAACAGTCGTGGATGCCAGGTCACAGAATACCGCTGTCTCATCACGTCCCGCACAGACAAACTGGAGCTGGACAAAGAGGCTTCCCCATTCCTTGTAGACATGGGTGGACTTCATAGAGAAACATAAGATCAGCACAGAAATTAGAACAAAATAAAGAAAGGGAACATATGCTCAAACCAATCAACAACTTTTCAAATGGAGTAGTAAGTGACAAGCACGACAGCCTTTAAATAAAGTATACCGGTAAGTGACGAGAGGGTGCAGGGGTAGGAAGTGTGCGGGTCCAAAGTCGACATTGCAACCAGAGCTTGTTAAAGTGAGCAGACCCCCAAGGCGAGCCAGCATAAGAAGAGAGCCTCGCTTCAAAACACATGCGAAGAAAAGGCCTCCAGGGGACCAGCTGACACTGCCCACCCAATAGGACCTGAAAGAGAAGAAATGCAATTAGTTTCAGCTAATTTTTACATATATAGGACCAAATCATCCCTAACAAGTGACTTTACATATTATGGTGAAGGCTACATAATGTTATAAATAAACTCCCGTTTCATAAACACTTAGAGATGACAAATAATGCTATTTTAACATGAGAAAACCTCACATGGGAGCAGACTCAGGGATGAGATAAGAATCATTCCAACAGAGATCCCAAAATACTTTCAACCACAGAGAGCCTTGTGTGATACATCACACCATTTAGTAGTAGTGGCAGTCGTGATTGCACTTCTTGGCAATTTTGACACATTTGTATATATATAGTTGATTTCTCTTCCTGGGATGCTGGGAAAGGATCATGCAATGCTGTTTATTTCTTGTAAATACTGTACAATCTAGCAGTGACTGTTAAATAGAAGTTTTCTCGCAAATTTAACTGGATGACTGTCGCACAGTGCAAATCATTTTTACTTGTACACACTGACCTTATGTATTTGGAGGGGATCTCCATTTTCTTACTTCCACATCCTCCGAGGCCACTTGATATCGAGACAAAATTCTGCATGCTCACAAAGAGGACCTGTGTAGCCTAAATTCCAACAGGCAACACACGTTTTGATTTATGTTTCTACTGATCAATGGACCTAAAAAATGTAGATGTGAAAAAAGAAAGAAGCTACATGCTCACCTTAGGTTTCCTCTGGTTCAGAACAATGGCTAACAGTCGGCCGTCTGGTGAGAAGGCTGGCACCAAAGCCCCTCTGGACTTGACTGGTTGGCATGGTGGAGTGAGACGAGACATGGGATATGTCTTAGTGGCCCACTGTATCCTGTATCCCACAAAACTAAAAAGAAAAAAATAGTCCTTTTAGTTCTACATGTTTACTATTTAAATTTACTATGTAAATGTTTCCAATTATATTTACTCAAGGAGAGTCTTACTGTTACAGCAATGTGTTCACTCACCCTGATTTCATGTGACCTTCTTTCCATTTAATCTTAAGGCAAGTGATAACAAGCTTCTTCCCAGATGTGAAAACAAAGGCAGATAAGCAGCTATCACCCATAACCTGAGGTAGTTTGGATGACAAAAAAACATATAAGATCTCTAGACAATAAGAAATGATGAGAAGGTCTTTAAAATGCTTTTGTTGATTTAAATATGGCACAAATATGGATTCTGTTTAGAAACCAGACCTCTGTCTTGACAAAAATTGTGTGCTGGGATGCTTCTTTGTCTTGGGAAGAAGGCAGGATGGTGTCTTCTAGGGACTTTATCAGAGCCCAGTGTCCTTTGACTGGACCATCTCGCAATCCTGTCAAATCCTTCACGTCTATACATTCCCACAGGAAAACTTGCCCAGTTATGGCCACCAATAGCACACGTGTCCCATCACAGGAAACCTGGAGGGACAGCCTTGAGGAATTCCCTGTGAAAATATCGGATCAGATAATTTTGTTACAGATGTTCACTACATATGTGTGTGTGTGTGTGTGTGTGTGTGTGTGTGTGTGTGTGTGTGTGTGTGTGTGTATAATCTATACAAATAGAATAATTAATTAAAATAAGTTAGGTGCCTAGAACAGAAACAGCTTTAGTGAAGGTTACAAATGATCTTCTTATGGCCTCTGACAGTGGACTCATCTCTGTGCTTGTCCTGCTAGACCTTAGTGCAGCATTCGATACTGTTGACCATAATATCCTATTAGAGCGATTAGAACATGCTGTAGGTATTACAGGTACTGCACTGCAGTGGTTTGTATCATATCTATCTAATAGACTCCAATTTGTGCATGTAAATGGAGAGTCCTCTTCACACACTGAGGTTAATTATGGAGTTCCACAGGGTTCAGTGCTAGGACCAATTCTGTTTACATTAAACATTAAAGTTAGAAATATCCTGTCTCAGAGTGACGCTGAAAAACTAGTTCATGCATTTATTACTTCCAGGCTGGACTACTGTAATTCATTATTATCAGGATGTCCAAAAAACTCACTGAAAAGCCTTCAGCTAATCCAAAATGCTGCAGCAAGAGTACTGACAGGGACAGAGAGAGCATATCTCTCCTGTTTTGGCTTCCCTTCATTGGCTTCCTGTTAAATCCAGAATTGAATTCAAAATCCTGCTCCTCACATACAAGGTCTTAAATAATCAGGCCCCATCTTATCTTAATGACCTTGTAGTACCATATCACCCTATTAGAGCACTTCGCTCTCGCTCTGCAGGCCTACTTGTTGTTCCTAGAGTATTTAAAAGTAGAATGGGAGGGAGAGCCTTCAGTTTTCAGGCCCCTCTTCTGTGGAACCAGCTTCCAGTTTGGATTCGGGAGACAGGCACTATCTCTACTTTTAAGATTAGGCTTAAAACTTTCCTTTTTGCTAAAACAGATAGTTAGGGCTGGACCAGGTGATCCTGAATCCTCCCTTAGTTATGCTGCAATTGACGTAGGCTGCCGGGGGATTCCCATGATGCATTGAGTTTTTCCTTTCCAGTCACCTTTCTCACTCACTATGTATTAACAGACCTCTCTGCATTGAATCATATCTGTTATTAACCTCGGTCTCTCTTCCACAGCATGTCTTTTATCCTGTCTTCCTTCTCTCACCCCAACCGGTCGCAGCAGATGGCCGCCCCTCCCTGAGCCTGGTTCTGCCGGAGGTTTCTTCCTGTTAAAAGGGAGTTTTTCCTTCCCACTGTCGCCAAAGTGCTCGCTCATAGGCGACTTTTGTTGTGATTTGGCGCCATATAAATAAAATTGAATTGAATTGAATTAGAACAGTTAGGATAAGTAAAACTAAGATATTCATGCAGTGCAATGATAAATTAAAAGGAAATATGCCAAAGTTAAAACAATACTTTGTTCAGTATAGACAAGATATTTAAAGTGATGCATATAAAGGTCCCACAACTGATTTATTCAATTTATTGAAAACTTTCAAATACTACACAAATCAAACTATTTTGCCTCTAGGTGTCTTTATAAAATACACACATACCCTGAAAAGAAGTAATTATCTGAACTATTTCTGGGACTCCTGCAGCAGTCTTCAGCAAATCTTTATCCCGGTTCCACAGAAACACTTCTCCAGAGACCAAAAGACCACAAAGCCACATACCTGGAACAAAAACCAAGAACAAGATAAATTTCTTAGCCAATATTCAGAGCTAAATACATTACTTTGCTTCGAGTTGACATACTAAGCTCACCGTTTTGCGATGAAGCCATTGTCACAACATTGTTGAGCAAAGGATGGAGTTTAGGAGTTCTCTTCTTGGTACGACCAGACACCATGTTAATTTCACTGATCCTCTTGTCATCCAACAGAAACACAGATTCCTTCTCCTGAAGAGCCATGACACCTGCTTGTAATCATATTTTGTATGTCTATAGAAATGTATTTTCGTAAAAATGAATTCCCCTCACCTGCCCGAGCCAGCAGAAGCGCGGCCATGGTTTCTTCCGTTTGATGCTGGATGACAGAACAACTTCCAACTTCAGCTCCATGTTTGAAAGACAGCATCAGTGCTTCCTTGTGACTGTGCATTCAGGAAACTGTAACGGCAACACAGACAGTGTATTTTTCCAGACGTAGTCGTAAATCTCCCTGAGATACGATACGATAAATAACGTGCTCACTGCAAATGTATTCATTATATTGTGAGCTAAAATTAACTTTGCTTAAAACCAACAGCAACAACAACAAAGACGGGGAAGAAACATTACTGTAGGTAACGGTATGATTAACATGAAAAGAATAGCGTTAGCAGCCTAGCTGGTTCTGTTTAGTGCGCAGAGACAAAGTCCCTAAGAAGCCTAACCTGAGTATTTGAAGTACATTGGCTATATTCACTGGTTATCTTCAGACTAAGCGATGCTGAGAATTTTATTATAACTTACCTATTTGGAATTTATACCGTATATAATCACGAAATATTTCGAAACTCCCTCCGCTTCAGTAGCCAGAATTGCTTCCCATGATCCTCCGGGAGGAAGCTTCAGCGCGTTGCCGTAGGAACGTGACGGCAGCTGTGGCAGACGCTCTCCGCTCCCTCCATGTTTTTAACTCTGTGAGTCCCAAATCCTCACAGCTGTTATTTTGCTCGTGAAAGATATACAGCTTCATGTCACCCCTGGAAGCTGAACATATTGTAAATTTCCTCTCTTCCATTCGTCATGACGTTTATATGACTTTCTGGCTCTTTATGCCAAATGTTGTATTTTTTTCAATACTAAAACACTGCAGCCTGAACATTGGAGGGACATTTTGTTACCGTTCTGTCGTGCGGAATAATGCTTAAAAAACAAACAAACAAAAGGGGTTAACTTCCAAAGTTATTACAGTGAAGTCAACCTAAACTAAAAAGAGTAAAAATGCGTCTTAATTAGCTGACATAAAACAAGACCAGACCATCTTAACCTTGCCTCATGACTTTCTCTCCAAACTGCTCAACCTAAGCTGTCCATCTGATATACTCGGTGTAGGCTCTTTACCTTACAATATAAATAACATTTCCGGTGATTGCTGTTATATAAAATTGAATTGAATTGAACTGAATTGAAGAATATTACAAATGAATTAATAAAGTGAAATGGCAAAATTGACTCTGGCCAATACTGAAATTAAACTATGTACAAAACCTGAAAATATGGAAAAATACAAAATTAGAATAAATCTATGTCCTACTTGACATTTGAAATGTCTAGTACCTGCAATATCAAAACTGAAAACAAAAGAATGTTTTTTCTTTTGTTTCCTTGCTTTTTGGTTGTGTTTGTGCATATTAGGTGACGGGGGAAAGGACTAATGGGCACTAGGGATGGGTATGAGAGCAATAAACAAGGCCGGTTGTGAATTGGTTTGGCATAAAATTTAAGGAATGGACTTTTTATATTGACAGTGCCATATTAAAATGCTCCCCACCCAATTCAGTGAGAAATAACACTAACAGTACTGACAATAATTGCACTTTTTCTTTAAACATCAGTGCATTGCTCCAAATGCACAAATACAATGAGTGTTATATGCTATATGCAGGATACAAAAAAAAAACAGAACATGGCTGTAAAAGCATTCTAATGCCAGCAGATGGCGACCTGCTGCAATAAGAATGAATTCTTCTGAGCACAGAAAAGCATTTTTGAGTTAACATGAGGAGCTTGACTCGAGTCAACGTGAGCACTGTGGCAAATAAACAGAAGCATAAAAGGCCTTTTGTACTTTGTCCCTTCGCTGCTGCAGATATCTTCGACAAGGTCAATTTTCTCTCAGCAACAACAACCCATCTGAATGTTTATGTGCGGTAAGTGATCATCTTCACTATTAACGTGCTTTGGGTTGTGCAAGCCCTTAAGCAATAAGTCTCTTATTGGCTTGTTACAGAGAGTTATTAGGTTTGCCCCGCGGCCCCCGCTGGTATTTAATTACCCTTGCACTCTCTCCTTTTCATCACGGCGTGGATGATGGCTGCCATTGCCAGTAGGTGAAAGAGGAGACTTCACCAGACCTTAATTAGTTCATTTGCCTCTGCCTGCCAGGCACAGATGGAGCTCTTTATTACTGTCACTGCCAGGCTCATTCTGCTATGATGATGAGTGTCTTAAGAGGAAGAGCTTGACATCCTAAAATGACACGATGACATGGCCAAAACAGAATCGGTTCAACAAACTAACCAAAAGCAGTTCTATTTTAGCCAGTTCATCATGGAGCAAGCCTACCATATTATAGTCTCATCCCTATGAGATCACAGTGTAAAGATAAAATCTAACCACCTATAAGGTTTCACTTTAGTCTTTCTGTTTATTCTTCAATAAGGCCTTTTTGTTTGGGGTGTGCTTGCAGTTTCATGCCTTTAATAATTGTATGTCTGTTTATTTAATCAGGTAAAAATCTCACCCAGACTGAAACGCTTTATTTAAAGTGAGAAGGCAGCAGAGATTTTAATAAATATAACTAAATAAACAAATACAACTGGCACACATGACAGCTTTATTTGTTAATTTTATAAGAAAGTGAACAAAACAACAAAAGCATACATTATAACATAACTGTTTTCCTCCTTTAAAACAGGCATAAACTCCCTCAGACAAACCACTTCTCCTTCCATAGAAAAAGGGGCAACATATTTAAAAACTTATTTTTCCTTATTCTGATTCTGTGGTATATAAAAAACAACCAATGGGAAAGTATGTGGACATAGAGGGATGAGTGTACAGAGAACAGTGATGTACATGATTGATGCTATCCAGCCTCTTTAGTTTAGATGCTGTGATTTCAGCAGATGTCTGTATGGTTACAAACATTAGAATACTGTACATAGATACATATTTGTATATTTGTGTCCCAAGTAGTTCTTAACATCATCATTATCTTGGCGCCAACACATAAAAATACAACATCAGTATACAATCCTTTATGGGGTTAATGTCACACTTCCCTATTGCCTATACAGAAACCAGTCAATTTCATTGGTCAGACTGGGTGATCTGGATTAAATCAAAAGAAAAGAAATCATTCTAACTACAATGACAGTGATAATTTTAGCAGTAAATAGAAAAGGATAAATGAAGGTAGAACAAAACAAAACAAAATTTCCATCAGGAACAATTAGGTTTTTTTTTTTAAAGATATTAAAGGGGAGTCTGTGTAATTAAATTCATATTAATTCATCTTTAGTCCTGACATGAGTCATTATTCTGTGAAACGGTTCATAATGCATCCAGTCTTGGGATAACTCAAGAATATTCTGGTAAGATAGATTTAAGTGATCATCCACAATATTAATAATGTGCAGATCTCTTCTGTATCTTGACTCTGACCAGTTTGGGCATTGACACAGGATCTCTGTGGGTGTCTTTCACCAGGGGCTAATTTTACCAAAATAGACTTTGACTATGGTGCAAATAAACCAAAATAGTCATGTGTCTAAATTAATCCATTGCGCTGACTTTCTCGAGCAAGACTGGTACACTGTTTTTGTTGCACAGACTTACTTCAGAGAAGAAATCTAGCAGCTAACCACTCAGCTATGTTTACTGCGGCAGGAAATGTTTGTCTTTTGGAAGAATTCAACAGTTTAAAGGTCCTTTTAGATGCTGCCTTATTTCCCAGCAGGTCACCCCCGCGGATGGATCCACGTATTTGATTTGACACCGGTTTTAACCCTCCCATTTATCTGTGTTCGGGACTGGCACAAGGAGTCCACCAGCTTGTAACCCCCTCCTGGATGAATTCAGCAGTAGACAGTAGTAAACAAAGAGTGTAACCATGAAAAGGATAAGAACAAGTAATGACAGCAACAGTAAACAGTGCAGGAAACTTCCTGTTACATAAAATCTCAGCGCAGTGCAAACCTGTAGCAAAGCTTTGATGCTGTGGTTTGTTAATGGAGGTGGGCAGACTACTTCTGTCATTTACTTAGTGAGCTTAAGGATAGCTTTAGTGGGCAAACAACAACACCTGACAATAAAATGTACTTTTCAAAACTGCTGTACTTTTTCACTGAGTTACCACTGTCTCTGAAACATCTTTCTCTTCTTGCTCTTGCCGGGAGTCACATATTTTGACTCTCGTTTTCTGCTTTTAGGTTTTAGAGTCACATCAGACATCGGTCTTAGGCTTGAGTTAGGTAAGGGTTGGGAAGGGTGTGTGGGGGTGGTGGGGTGGGGGTTCTACCCCTCTCACTAGCTTAGGTCCTTCTCATGAATACTTGATTGAGTTGGGATCTGTTGGAGTTTGGCAGCTGGATAAATTCTTTGAGCCATTAGTAAACGTTTCGTGGTGCTCTATCTTACTGGTGGAGGCCATATGGAGATGTGCTTTGCCTCCAACAATGTTTAGTAGAGTGTTTTTTAAATCTGTCAAAGGCTCTTATAAAGTAGGCAAATATACACTATATCCAGACTGCTAGATTATAGAAAATGGTTCATGAATAGAGTAATGTACATCTACTCTATACTTATGCTCTCTTAAGAAAGCACGCTGGTGGTGGATAATGGGTTAGGATTTCTGGATGATCCTTTTGCAAGCAGTTATGGGGCCAACTTCAGGATCAGGATCCCATGTTTAGCTACAGAGGAACATCGTTTGCGTCTTTAGCACGAACTAAAAGTGGATTTTCAATTTAGCGGCCTGTGATTAACTAGAAAACTATTTCCCATCTATAAATTCACTGCTCAAAACAGGGACATCAGTTGGCATGGTAACCTCATTTCCCATCTGCAGGCCTCATTCATACTGAAAAATGACACTCCGGCAGCTCTCAAGAAACAATTCAATATTCCTGCCGTAACAGCAGGTCAGAGTATGTCTTCTCTAAATCTTGGTCATGGTGTATATCTTTCTTAGGAAATAACAAATGGCATGTTTAGAAAGGCTTTAATTTGCAGTGAATATGATTTCAATTGATTGATTAGTGTATACAGTGCTGAGTGCAGGAGTGTGTTAAGTATTGACAAATTTATATCTAGAATGGTCTTTGGCATCTTATTCGACTTCTGGAAATGAAAACACTGAAAACTCTGTGTTGGATCATGGCAGACTTTGACATATTGGGTAAAATACTTGCAGAAAGTCAGTTCCTTAAAGCTTGCTGGAAACGCATACAAGGAAATTGCGTAGCCTTTATTAACGTTAGATCTCATTTTCAGATAAATGGATGTGTAAATATAACAAGCTGTGGTTTTACTGGAGCTTAAGATCAGGACTATTTCTTGGCCAGTTGCAGTGACTTTCTGTAGTCTTTAGAGGCCATTAGAAGTTACTGGCAGCAATCAAAGACATTCGGAAACGGTTGACTCATATAGGATGGGGTGTCATATATTATAAATGTTGTTAATACAAACAAATGTATAAAGAAACCGTTTTAAATAGCTCTGTATAGCATTATTATCTCTTTGACTTTCAGTTTCAGTCTACTGACCTTGAAGAAGAGATCAGAGGTCAAATGTGACAGGATTTGGTGGTGGTAATAATATA